GCCATGCCAGTCAACATTTATAACATCCTCCTGCTGCTGCTGCCATCTGACCTCCTTTGACCCCGTACCCATTTCTGTCTGGTCCCCAACTCCTCATGGCCTGTCATGTCCTGACCGCCAGCCTGAGCCTGTTCCATCCTGCCCAACCTGCAGGAACAGGATCCTGGTGATTGCCATCGTGTTCCAGGTCTGCATTGGCTGCTTCTTGTGCTACTGCCCTGGGATGCCCAACATCTTCAACTTCATGCCCATTCGGTGAGGGGCTGGGACCTGTCGGTAGAGGGTGGGCTTGTGGGGCACAGCCCTGGCCTGCCCTCACCTTCATCTCACCTGTGCCTTCAGCTTCCAGTGGTGGCTGGTCCCCATGCCCTTTGGCCTCCTCATCTTCGTCTATGATGAGCTCCGGAAACTTGGAGTTCGCTGTTGTCCAGGGAGTGAGTGTGGAGACTGGAGGTTTGGGCGTGGGGGGGGGAGGGCGGAAGCTTTTTCAGAGCAGCTGCCCTGACCTTTGACCTCTACCCTCTTGACCCTCCATATCAAACCTCTATTGATCCATAACCTGAGCCCTGGCTGCCACCACTAACCTGCATCCCCCAGCACCCAGTCTTCTTTCTCTCTCCCAGGCTGGTGGGACCAGGAACTCTACTATTAGAGAGACCGCTGCCTTCAAGCCATCCCTGCAGCCACCACAGATGGAGTGGTGGAGGGGGGCACATGAGACCCTCTGGACAGCCACCAAACATTTGAGCAGTCAGATTTCTAGCTCCACCTGTGTCTGCTCCTGCAGCCTGTGACATTCCAGCCTCAGAGGGACCCTCCCCTCTCCCCCACCTCCTGGAGGAGCAGACCCTGGGCCCAGTGCTCTCAGCTGGCCTTGGGGAAGTCTCCCATCAAGTGGGTTAGGACTTCAGGCTGGCAGGACTACCCAGGGGTCCTTTAAAAACACACTTTTGTCCTTGTGATAGTAATAAACCAGCTCACACTGTCTGTGCTTTCATTTGGTGCCAGGCACCGTCTTGTTTTTTATGAGCTCCTTTGGTCACCCATAATCCTACCACTCAGGGGCTGTTTGTTCAGGGCTGTATCTCCACCTTCCTAGACAACAGCCTGGCGCATAGTAGGCACTCAGTAAACACTCCTTGGGGAACAAATCCCCATCCGTTTGCCTAGGATTACAGCATTTGAAGGCGTTGTTCTTTCTCCTCAGTGTTGTTCTTTCTCCTTGTGAAGTGTGGTGAGCCTCGGGTTCCTTCATTCCTTCCTTACTTCTTGCTCACCTATTTTCTCTCTGGCTACCCACTTCCCCAATAAAAACAGCCCACCGGTCACCTCTCTGCTGTGCTTCTAGTCACTATCCTACTCCTGCCCACCTTGCTCTGGTCCAGGCCTGAGTCTCCCACCCACACAGCAGTCACAAAGATCTTCCTAAAGCCAAATCTGACCTGTCCTTCTGCTTAGAACTCTTCACAGTTCCCACTGCCCCTGGCTGTCATCAGGGCCTTCTGTAAGTCTGGCCCATTGATTACTGGTCTTACAAGCTCCTTCTATCTCGTTCCAACAACCAATCTTACGTTTTGCTGGAAAGGCCAGGTGCTTCCTCTGACCATAAGGCCTTTACTCAGGCTTTGACACCTGCTTTTCTCCTTTGTCCCACCACCACCTCATCATTTAGATCTCAGCTCACATCCTCTCTTCTGTGGAACACATCCTGACCTCCAGGATGGGTTCCCCATCACAGTCCTGACCCCTTAGGCCTGTGCTCCCCAAGTCAGCCCCAACCACTGGTCTGTCGACCTGAGCCCCACAGAAGCTGGAATTATTTCATAGATGGTTGGCCACCAGCAGAGAGTCTGGATTAGAGAGTTTGGATTAGAGTCCCTGCTCAGTAAATAGTTAATAGTAATTTCTGCTAACTTCACTCATCCCAGAACTTGTCAAAGGTTAGGTGGGGTATGAGATAGAAGTGTGGGATTAAGTGATCTCATCACACATCCACCCAGGGGCAGGCAGTCTACTCCCTTCATAGCAAAGTCAGGGTGACCAATCAATCACTTGCCTTCCTACCCCTCCCCCCACACCTGTGGCCCCACATTTTGACTAGGGACACTGAGGGGGAAAGGCTTGGTGGTGGCTGCCCTATCTGAAGGCAAATGGTATTTTACCAGGCCCATGACAACTGTCCTATCCCATCTGGGAAGGCTGGGGAGCACCTTTCTGGGTGGGCATAATTTGCATCTGCTTAAGATGGAGCTTAAGCATGACCTTCAAAGCCCTGCTTCTGACATATCTCAGGGAGGGGGAGGGAATGGGCAGAGACCTGGCCTCAATAGACCAGGGAAGGGTTGGGGAGTGGAGGGTAGCCTCCAAGACAATATCCAAGTTGGTGGGCTCAAATGCTGTATCTGGCTGCAGCTGTCCCTGCATACCTTGAAAAAACTCAGGCCAGGATTTGATTTGAGGCCCACAGAACTGAATCACAGAAGTCTGCCCCAAGGGCAAAAGCAAAGGTCAAGTGGCTGGACTGTTCAGTGTGCAATGGGGAGCCCTAGATAGCTGTAAGCAGGGAGGGTGAACTAGCTGATGGGGGTTTCAGAGAGATCCCTCTGGCAGCCATATGAAGGGTAGATCAGAGGAGCATATTAGGGCTGGGAGCCTAGGAGGTGACCAGCCAGGGAAGGGCCAGGTTATGGCTGTGAGATGCCCCCCAAAACTGTCTTTTGTAGTCTAGCTCCCCAATCACTTGGTCCCTGAGGGCCCTAGTCTCTGTCATTGCTCAGAGATTGTCTACTTCCAGCCCTTAGTCTACCCTGGGAACACAAGCAACCATGGAGCTGCTCCAGGAACACAGGACCAATCAGGGCTGACTAGTCTTGCAGCCTGTGTTATCTGGCTCCAAAGTCAGACTGAGGGTCTGAGAGTGGTATTTGTAGACAGCTCCAGAGACAGATGGAGGCAGAAAGCAATTTTCCAAATACTGTTTACTGAAACCTGTAGGCAGCGAAAAGGTATGTGACCATCTGAGACACCAAGCCTAGGAGTGCACACTGACAACGGCAACATACAGGGCCAGGGTGCTGAGGGCCAGCAGCCCCGTCACCACCGCTCGGGCCAGCAGTGCTGTCCAGCTGCCCAGGGAACAGAGGTGGACGAAGGTCCTGTGGGGAAACAGCACAATGAGGGAAGGAGAATAGATAATCCACCCCCACTTGGACCCAGCCTCACACCCGACCCAGCTCACTCCATGACAAAGGCCTTGTAGACACTAAGGAACATCAGGAGGAGGACTGCCGGCCTGAAAGTGTGGTATAGATCGTAGCGTGTTATCATCCAGACCTGGGCAGATGCGACGATGTAATGGACCTGAAGGGAGGCAGGAAGTCAGGGCCAGGCCTTGGGAGAGAGAATGGCCACCATCAAAAAGGCGTGTGTGGGTCAACAGGGCTGCGTACCAGACTGATGTTGGAGTCAATGCTCATCTGGATGTATTTCCAGTCAAACTCAATGCCCCGGGCTCCAACCCAGAGGGGGATGCAGCTGAGGAAGGCAAAAGAGGGGATTCTCCAGCATCCAAACACCCTCAGCACCCAGAATCTGAGCCCCCACTCTCCAGCACCCCCTTGGAACCCAGCTGTTCCTTCTCAGGAATCTGAGCTCCTGGCTGCTGCACACACCGGGACATAATGAGCTCTGCGGTGGCCCAGCCCAGGGCAGCAACCATGATCTTGTACTCCCCTTTGCCAGCATTCCGAGACATGACAAGGTTTAGGCCTATCAGGTCTGCCACATCCACGCTGGCCTTCATGAACTCCTGTGGGTCAGTTGAGGCTTGAGTAAGCACAGTTGCCACAGGGCCCCACTCCTGAACTCCCTTCCTCTCCCTCACCCACTCACCCCAATGAAGTCGTAGATGCCTCCCTCCCAGGTGGGAAAGAAGGTGGCTAGGAACAACATCTGAGAAGAGAAAACAAAGAAGTCGCTGCAAAGTGAGGGAGATAAATCACGTGGGTTTTTTGTAAAGATAATATAGTTGTGTAGGGCATGGCACTGGGGTTTTGGGGGCTCATGTGGAGAAGCACCACCAGATGGGGGAAAAATTACTGGACCAGGGGGGCCAGAGGGTGGGAGCCTGTAAGTTTAGGTTTTGTGGTGATCACAAAGGGTTGAGGTCAGGCCTGGCGATGCTGGGACCAGGCAGTGTTTGCAGCACCGTGTGCACCTTGGGGGTTAGCCAATGGCTCTTAACAGCACAAAACCCCCCTTTACCATACAATTGAGTTTTCTCAATTTGACTAAACGTGCTCCACAAAAGCTGCTTGGAGACTTCTCCCGGGTTCCACCCTTACCAAAGTTGTGCTTTCTCTGGGTATTCTCGGGTGGGGGTGGTGGTCCCACCCTGGGGTGTCTGGGCTGGGGTGGAGCCCTAGGTCCTGCGAGCCTGGGGGCCGGGCGCCCTCACCTTGCACAGCTGCACAAACAGGTAGGTGACCCCGGCCTGGACGCACTTCCAGAAGGCGTTGTACTCGGACCTGCAGGAGCGGGCGGTGAGGCTCGGCCCGGGCCCGCGCCCTCCCGCCCCGCGGCCGTCCCGCACTCACAGGCCGCTGCACTTGTATGTGATGAAGTAAGGGAAGTAGGCCAGGGCAAAGCAGTTCCCGAAGTGGAACAGGGTCATGGCTCCGGCCGCGCAGGCCCCGCCGCAGCACGCTCCGCCCGCCCGGCGCCCGAGCCGGGGCCTGAAGCCCACCAGCCTCCGCCGCGGCCCGCGCGGCCTTCTGGGAGCCGGCGGTCGACGGCGCTGCGCAGTGACGCCATCGCCCGAGGTCGGCTCGCGAGAGCCTGCGCGGTGCGGTTACCCCGCCTGGGGAGCCGCGCGCTCGCCCCAGGCGCCCGGCCCGAGCTGCCAGCCAGCCGAGGGAGGGGCGGCCCTGAACCTGGATTTGACCCCGCGCTACCGGTGCTGAGACTCAGGGCACAGCTTTAAGCACTCTTGAGTTTTTATTTCACCATTGGCCCTGCGGCGCAGGCTGCCCTTCTTCCCTGGGGGAGCCGAGAGCGGCAAGGGGAGATACAGGTTCTGGCCCCAGAGCGCGGAAGCAGAGTGGGGCCGTCCTGTTACACTTGTCGCGGCTGAACATGTAGCGCACGCAGTTACTGTAGCCGCATTCGTTGTCATATCTGGGGCAGGGAGGTACGGGGTCGGGATCTCTCTTCAGACCACCCCCAGTCTCCCTCAACCTTCTGTGACTACTTTGCCCCATACCAGGAAATGAGCTTCACAAAGTTGTCGTTGAGTGCGATGCCGGCCTTAGCATCAAAGATGGATGAGTGGGGATTGGTGACAAAGTCCGTGGAGACGACCTGGGCGGCAGACTTTCAAAGGTAAGTGTGGGGCGCAGGGCAGGGACTTAATGGGAGCATAGGTTCCGACTCTTGTGCACATTGTGCGCCCATTCATGTGCAGTATCTGATGGAGCCCTGCTGTGTCCAGGTTATGGGACAGTGTAAGAGGAAGGCGCCTAGGGGCTTTGCCTGGCGCAAAGGACACAGCTGGGCAAAGGACAGAGAGCGAAACCGTGTTGATGCTGCACCAATGAACAGCAGTTGTGGGAATGAGGCAGGCACTTGGAGTGGGCCAGCACAGAGGTCCTCTCTGAGGCGAGGCGGTGAGGCTAAGTCTGAATGACTAGGAGGACTGGGCCAACTCAGGCCCTCAGCAGAGTCTGAGGTGGCAGGGGCTATAGCACAGAAGCCCTGAGGGTTTGGCCCTAGTGTGGGTGATGGCCACAGGAAGGTTTTCAGTAGTAGGGGTGGTGTGATCTGCTATCTTTAAAATAAGAGATCCTGGTGGCTGTATGCAAGGAGAGAGCACCAAAGGTGAATGTACAGAAGTAGCACTACTTGGAGCAAAGGCATAGTAACATCCAGTTTTCACAGGGAAGGTACCTGGCCATGACCTGCCCCAGGCAAGTATTGAATATGGGGGCTGTTGTCTTATTCACTATGTAGTGAGCAAGCACTTGCTGTGTGCTAGGCCCTGGGAGACAGCTAGAGCTACAAAAGTGAAGAGTTCCAAAGTCCCTGCTTTCTGGGCATGCATTTGTTGGCATGACCAACAGTGACTATGAAATGGAATTCCAGGTAAGGAAAAGGACCACAAAAAGATAAGGGTGGTATTAGAGGTTTGGAGAAGGTGAGGGCAGGCTTTGAGGCCACCTGGGGGAAAGGCTTTCCAGGCCAAAGGAACAACAAGTGCAAAGATCCTGAGGCAGGGAGTCTGACCTTCCCAGCCCTGCAGTTCCTATCCTGATACATTGTGAGCAGCTCCCTGGAAAGTCATGTTCCCTCCCCAGAGGGCTCCCAGGGTCCCCTTTCCTCCGTCTCTACCTCATCCTCGGTGTAGGCAAGATGCCAGCCATGGGCCCCTTGGCTGCTGCTTTTATGGCCTCCTTGATGGATGAGTGTGGGGTAAGCTGGGCCAGGCGGCCGGTCAGGTCCACAACAGACACGTCTGGAGTTGGCACCTGGAATGCCATTCCTATTAGCTTCCTGGAGGATCCCACGTCAGGGGTGGGAGTCAGAACCCAGTAGCTTCTCTGTCCATCTGCTCCACCTCGCTAAATAGGCACCTCAGGGATTAGGGACCAGTCTAGTTCTCTTGGGGGGCACCCCAACCCTGGTTGCAGCTTCCTGCCCGGGATGACTTTGCCCACAGCCTTGACAGCCCCTGTGGAGGCTGGGATGATGTTCTGGTGGGCGCCCCATCCATCTCGCCAGGCCTTCTTTGATGGCCTGTCCACTGTCTTCTGGGTAGCAGTGTAGGAATGGACTGTGGTCTTGGGGAAGAAAGGGCCACAGTGAGGCCTTCTGCTCCTAAGCTCCCATGCCTCTTTTTCCCAAGCCCAGGGTGGTGGCCCAGGTGTGAAGGCTGGTGGGGCCCATTGACCACAGGAAGGCCATATGCAGGCCAGGGTTCAGCCTTGTCTGTGAGTTGTACAGTGTTTTAAAAGACTTCACTACTGGTGGGCCTCTCCTCCCGAAACCCGTCTCTCCCTGTTAACGCCCCACACTGAGTGAGTCCTGGGAAGAAGAGGTAGAGTTTCCCTGCCATGCCTCCTGCCCCAGCCCCTCTCCCCAAGTCATCAGCCCTTCCACTATCCCAAGTCGCTCATGGATGACCTTGTGCAAGAGGGGCCAGGCAGTTGGTGGTGCAGGATGCATTGCTGAAAAGGCCCAAGTAAGCAAGGGCACTGTGAGGGGAGTCACAGAGCCACCTTCTGCCCTTACCTCTCTTTCGGATGTGCACACAGGCCTGGTTTTGTGGAAAGTCAGGATGGGATGAGAGGGATCCGTGGGGATGATTTAAGACTGAAGGAGGCACCAGAGATGCAGCTAGGGGAACCCCAAGCATGTTCTCCAGAAGTTGTGCATTTCTAACAGGTAGTTTTAGGCTAACATTAACATGATGGCTATTAAGGCTTTGGGAAGGAGAAGCAAATTGATGTGAAAGAAGCACCAGGGGTCCTAGTGGGAGTGTGCATGGGGATGGTGAGTCTCATTCTCCCCCCGTACACAGGCTGCCATGTCTTCTGGGCACCACCACGTACTTCAGAATGTTGCTGCCCATTACCTGACAATTTTCATGGAGGGAGGGTTATAGTCCTTTTCATTCACCCCCATGACAAACATGGGGGCATCTGGTGAGGGTGCAGTGATGACCACACATAGGGCACCTGCCTCGATGTGGCCCTAGGGGAGAAGCACAGGTGTCATGAGGTGCTTCAAGTGCCCCCCGACCCTGGCTTCCCCAGCCAGCCCTGGGCATCTCTCCCTGACTTACCAAAGCTTCATCTATGGACAGGTACACGCCTGTGGATTCTACCACATAGGGGCTCCCAACAGACTCCCAGGGGATATCTGGGCTGCATGCTGTGTGGGGTGGTAGCACTGTGAGTCATCACCGCCTTCATAGTCCACAGCATTCAGAAGGCTGACCAGAGACCTTCCCACCCGGCCTGCAACTGTCAATTTCCCCCATCCTTCACATATCTGGCCGCCCCAGATGGATTCCATCCTGATGGTCTTGCCTCTCATCATGAACCCCACCCTGGAGGACACTTTACTTTTCTAGACTGCACTACCTGTGTGCCATGTGCAAGCTGCCACCTGACTCAGGCCTCAGACCCCACCCCCTCTCCCCAGGGGACCATCCCTGACTACTCCTGGCCAGGACAGGCCCTTTCTATGATATTCTGCCCAGAATTGGACCCCGGGAGGGCGAGGCCTGCCCCACTGCTCTGGCCCTAACCCTGACAGCCTCCTGTGGTCCTCCTAGCCCCTCTTGTCTTCACTGTTCAGCTCCTGCAGCAGGGAGCCTGCTGCCAGAGGTGAGGCAAGTCCCTGAGGACAGACACTATACCCCGGGAGCAGCTCCTAGCGGGGACTGAAGCGGGGGCAGCCCTGGGGCCAGCAGCGGCTACTGGTTTACCTTAGAAAGGTCAAGGCAATTTTCTATATCCTTTATCAATTTACATTCTTACCTGCTAGTTTATCAAATGTCTGTATTTGAAACATATGTTAAACATTGAGTATTGATATTTTCCACTAGGGTTTACCAACAAGCAGTAAATGAATAAACTATACTAATTTTTTTCCCTCGTGGGGTTTGTTACAACTGCAGTGTTTGCTTCTGTGACTGTTCATTAGCGTCCGTCTCATCTGCAGACCACCCCACAGTAGCACAGCTGGGTCTGTTTCCTTTGCCGTTGAGCCTGCTACCCTGAAAAACCCAAGTCAACTTTTGGGTTTTTTTTATTAGCCATTCTGCACATGTTTATAGAACACCTGCCATGTGTCCATGTTCTAAGCGCTACCTATGTTGGATTCATTTAACCCTTGTGACCCAAGAAGTAATAACTGTTATTATTGGTATTTTCCAGAGGAGCCAGTGTCAGGCAGAGGTAAAGGGAGGAGGCGGGTGGGAGTGCAGGTGGGCTGGCCTGGGATCTGCAGTCCTAGCTGTGCTGCCAGAATGAATGAATGAGTGGCTTCCCCTCTTCTCCCTGGGCCACCACACATGGTGGTTCTCTTTGGTTATCAGCTCTGCCATGGCACACCTTTCCTCATATGGTCCAACTAGCTTTTCTCTGATGTTCCCCATTTCCTGCCTTCCAAGTTGGGGATGGGGAGCACTTCAAATTCTCCCACAGCAGTTGCTGAACTGGCACGGGGCCAAGAGTTGGCACCCAGGAGACCCAGTCCCTTCTCTAGGCTGTCATAGGCCCTGTCCTGCTCAGAAAGCTGTTTTGATGATTCCATTCATTCATTCTTTCTTCAAGGAGATACTGCGTTGCCCCAGCGCCAGGGCCTGCACCTACAGGTGCAAAGCAGTGATGCTGATGCAGACCCGCAGGGCCCTCCCTGCAAGGAGGCTGTGGCCTTGTGGGCCAGTGCCCTTCCTGCTGCTCCGCTGATGCCTGTTAACTCCAGCCAAGCTCCTGCGACCACCGTCATCCCTATCAGATGCCCCGGGAAACAGGTCTAGGCGAGCGCTGTCCTGTGCCTGGGGTCACCCAGTGGAAGGAGTGGAGTGGGGCAAAGCTGTGCTGCTGCCAGCAGGACATCCACAGAGCCGTGATGGAGAGCAAGCGGCCTGGGGTGGGACGGGGCAGGAGCTGCAGTGGTCATCAGAGAGGCCAGCACCTGGTGGGGCAGACAGCGAGTGGGAGCTGGTGGGGTCGGGGGGAAGCAGCACTCCAGGAGTGTGGCAGGAGTGAAGGTGCCTAGGCCGTGCAAAGAGAGGACAAGGCATGTCTGAGCCACGACTCTGCTGGAATTGTTTTTGGTGTCAGGCTGCCAAACATGGATCATTCTTCTCCCACTCTTACCTACCTCTTCTGTCCCCCCTCCACCATCCTGCCACTCATTGCCCTGACCCTGACCATCTCACTACAAACCCTCCCTGCCCCTCTTTATCATTCACCCTGGCCACTACTGAGAAAAGAAGGGGGTCTGAGTGTGGATGGTGGGGAGGAGCTGGGGAGGCTGCAGGCCTTGCCTGGGGCTGCACGGGGGCTATGTGTAAAAGTCTTAAGGTGGCCAAGGGCCAGCCATGCCTAGTAGTTTACATTAGAAAGATTAAGTAGGTTTACTGGTTCCCATTTTATATATTTAGCTTTTTTTTGTTATCTTGAAAATGTTTTTATTTGAAGCATGTTAAATATCTACTGTTACTGCTTTCAACTTTCAGATTCTAAACATCACTTTAAGTGGAGGAGGAGGAGGATTAGTATTAGGAGGAATGACATGGGACGAGCACCCAGAAGTCAGCACTGCCTGGTGTGAAAGCTGCTGGCTCAGCGACCAGGTGGTGGGTGGCCAGTGTGACTGAGGGCACGTGGAGAGGGGCATACTGCTTGAAGGGCCCATCAGAAGCTGGGATTTTATTCATGGGATGATGGGAAGCCATTGGATTTAAGTAGGGGTGCAGCCAGATTCTGCCAATGTTTTAAAAAAGGCCTCTGTGGCTGCTGTGTAGAAACTGAGTGGAAGCAGCTGGCTGGCTGGTGGTGCCATTTCCTAGGAAGGGAGATGAATAGGTTTGGGGCTTGAAGGAGAATCAAGTGTTGAGTTTTAGACATACTGATTTGCTATGTCTGTGATAAAACATGTAAATGTGTGTTAAACAGTATTTGGAGTGAGTGGGGGCATCATTTTAGATTAGTGCTTCTTAACTATTTCAGAGGTTGGGGACTTGCCTCCAACCCAGTATCGTGCACGCACACACTTTGGGGGTTTGTGAACCTCATGTGAGAGGCAGGAGTCCCACTCCAGGTATCCGCATGTCCCCTGCACTAGTCTGTTGGTGGCTTGCCTCAGACAGCTGCCCTTACCATTGGAAGACACTGATCCCCTGGTCGTCCACCACCAGCCTTCCCTTCCTGCTTTCCACACTCCCCTTGAATCGGCCAGGGGTGGAGTCAATCTTGAACATGTACACCTGTGGGAGATACAATGGCTTCTAGTCTTGGGGTGCCAGGGATAGGGGAACCCCCACTTTGTTGAAGGAGCCTTCCATAGATCTGTCCTGAGCCCCTTCTCCTGTGCTGCCCTGCCCGATCCTGCCCCCTGCCTGCCGCTCACCATGTATTCTGGGTCAATGAATGGATCGTTCACCGCCACCACTTTAATGCCCCTCTCCGTGCAGGCACACAACACCAGGCGACCGATGCGTCCAAATTGGTCCAGGGACGAAGGTTGTGGGATTGTCCTCAGAATCCATGGCCAGCAGGCAAAGAGGAAGGGATGGGAGAGAAGGGGGTAACAGGAGGCTCACTCGGGGGCTGGGTGGGCTTCTCAGTCTGGGGGGAGGAAGGCATCCAGACGCTATAATCTCTTGTCCGGATGACCTCACCAGCCTCTTAACTGCTTTTTTTGCTTCCCCTGCCCGTCCACCCCTGGCTTTATATTCCTCACCTTGTAGCTGAATGGATTTGTAGAACTTCAGGTCAGATTATGTCTCTTGGCCTGAAAACCTCCATGAATATCAATAAAACCAGACCAAACTCCTTCCAATGGCCTACCAAGTTCCTGCTGGCTTTCCACAGCCCTCCCTTTTCTCTCTCACTTGCCCCACACCAGCCACACTGACTTCATGCTTGTCCTCAGCACACTGAGCTGCCATCTCCACCCCAGAGGTGGCACAGCTGTCACTCAGGCCTCACTCCATTGTCACCTCCCACCAGCCTTCCCTGATCCCTCCGGCTCACACTGTCTTCTCCGGTCTCAATTTATCCCTGAGTTCCATGCTGTGCATCGCATGCATCACTAAACTGACGAGTTCCTTATTGGGTTGTCTTCCCACCAGAATGTGGGCTCTCTGCGGGAAGAGCCCTGTGTGCCTCCTCTCTGTGTTTCTCCAGGGTGGGCAGAGCGAAAGCACTGAAGGTGAGAAATGTGGAGATGCCCCAGTTGTGACCAGAGGAAAGGCTGGGGCCTGCGGCTTCAGGAACAGCTCGGGCCTGGCTGACTGATGCCAACAGTCAGCTCCCGAGCTGAAACCTTCTTAGATGGTGGAGGCGGCAGATGAGGTGGCATTTCCTCCTTGACTGGCTCTGCCTCAGCCTTGGGCTCCGGTGGATGCTGTGCTCTGGTCACTGCGGGAGGAAGTGGGTGAGGGCAGTGAGCTGCGCCATCTCAGGGTGAGAGAATTAACCATCTTTGCCACTCAAACCTGTTGTTGGCTCCTGGCCCCTAGTGGCCAACCATCTTCCCTACTGTTTCCTCAACCTACCTGATCCACAGAGCAGGGGTGGCTTGCTTTAAAATACCAATGCCAGGGCCCCTTCCCTAGAGATTCTTATTTAGTGAGTATATATTTTTTAACAATACTTGGGGTGATATTCTCTGTGCCTCAGTTTCTTCCTCTGTAACATGGAGATAATAAGAGTACTTCTTTCAGAGGGTCTTGAGAATTAAGAGGTAATATATGTATGTAGTGCTTATCAGAGAGTCTAGGGAATAGGCTACATACATTAGTATTTTAAGGATCATTTCCGAAACTTGTCTGATAATTGATCTAGCTCAGTGGTCCCCAAAACTTCTGATGATAAGAATCACTGGGGAGGCCTCTTCCTAGGGAAATGTGACTCAGAGGCCCAGGGGCCCAATTCCTGCCCTGGGCCCAGGAATCCTGTTTCTAACAAGCACTCCAAGTGATTGCTGTCCTCAGCAGTAGCCTCAGTATGCGCAGACTGCATTTAAAAACACCTGCGGTCGGAGTGATGTTACCTGAGCTCCAGATGAGGGCTTGAGGAGAGGAAGGGACACAGGGTGGAGAGAGCAGTGAGGGGCCCTGGCTGGCAGAGGGTTCCAAGCTGGGGATCAGGCCTCAGCATCAGCCCTGGCTCAGCCACCTGCTGGTTTTGGTCAAGTTAGTGAACCTCTCTGGCCTGTTCCTGGTGTCACATCTGACCCTGCACCTGGGGGCTACTGTGAGGGCTTCGTGAGATTTCAAGGCCCAGTAGGTGCTGATTTTAACAGAGGAGAGGAAGTCTGATACCAAGTATTCCTGAAGAAAGAGAGAAGGGGTTAGAGAGAGGCAGCGGGTAAGGGTGGGGGTCGCTTTTGGCTCCAGAATTAAAGGCACCTGGGAGGTGGTGGGGCTGGGAGCTGGAGGCCCGCTGGCCTGTCTCCCTGACCTCTCCGGGCTGACACAGACCTTACGGCCTGAGGCTGGGCTGGGGGTGTTTCCAGTAGCAGTATTAGAGTTTAGTGGTGGCAGCAGCCTATGGTTAGGGATGACCCTAGGGTATTTGCATTCCTGGGGATGCTGTTTCTGCTACCACAAAAGGGGGAGATTTGTCTACATGGGTTATGTGTGCGGATCTGAGCCTGCTGGGTGACCTTTCAAAAGAAAATGCAGATGGTCCTCCACTCCCAACTTCCCTCAGGCTTCCCCACTCCTCTCCACTCCAGGGGTGGGCTATACCAGCTGGAGGACAACTGTTGCACTGAGAAGGAAGGGCCCTGGGGAGCCTCAGTGAGGAAACATCACTTGGTAGGTGAACCAAGGGCACAGGTGCGCTCGCTCCCAGTTACAATGACGCTCCCGTTTCCTGGGTGCCAGTGTGGGCTAGGTGCCCTGCTCTTCGGGAGCGTGGCTCAGGAATCCTGTGAGCATGTGCTATAAATCCTGGTTACAGAGGGGAACCCAAGGCCTGAGGTCACAGCGAGTGATGAGCAGGGTGGGGGCTCAAGGCCTGTGCCTATAATCTGCTGCTTGGGGTCTGCTTGACCCGCTGCGGCCACGCCTGTCCAGAGCGGCGGCTTCAGGTCGCCCCCAGCGCCCGCGGTCAGTGCGGAGGCAGCAGGGGAAGAGGGGCCGCCTTCTCCGAAGGCCTGGGTTGTTGGGGAGTGTGTGTGTGCACCTCTAGGTGGTGAGGCAGGGCCCTGAATTGCAACTCTGCTGTTCTGCTGCTGAGACCTAGGGAGGGGTTTGTGCTCCCTCACCTCTGGTGGCTGCTCTGTGAGTAGGGACAGTAAGCGCACTGGCTTCAACTGGTTCTTGCAAGGCTCAGTGAGCATGTGGCTGTAAAGTGCTCGGCCGGCCCCAGCAGGTGCGGTATGGCGGGGACAAAGCCCACCAAGCCCCAAGCGGCCCATTCGCACTGGTCGAGGGAGCGTTGGTTGTGTGTGACACCCAGCTGGCTGAGGCTCTTCATCAATCAGCAGTGACCTCAGAAATGCCCACTGGTGAACCTGGCTCCAGCCTCCGCTGCAGCCCCCTGCTTATAGCCCTGCCCCTCCACCACTTGGAAAGCAAAGGCTGGTAAGCGGTACAGGGAGTACAGCTGAAAGGAGGGAGGAAGTGGCTCAGAGGGAAGAGCCCGCTGGCCTCAGCGAGTCGCCCGAGCCTCCTGCGACCCCCACCCCTATTTGTGGAAACCGCAGTGGGCATGCTCGCAGAAGGCGCGGGGTCAGGGTGCCCATGACCACCCTTTCTAACCCTCCCCGGGGTCACTCCACCGTGTCCTTTACCCAGGCACGGCTGTCGCAGCAGCTGGACAACGGTGACATTGGTGAGGACGATGTTGCGTTTCAACATGGCCTAAAAGTTTTATGACCTAGCCGCCCGGGACCCACCGCAATGTTACCGTGATGTGGGACCCTGGGGGTAGTGGGGCCAGAACTTCTTGCCGTGACCTCACAGTGCCCAGTGCAAAAGCTCCATCCCAGTCAAGGCATGTGACGTCTGCATGCCACCACCATGCCATGGCCACCACTGGCATCTGGAATGGAATCTGACCTTTCACACTGGTCCTCAAAGCTCTTTTCCCTCCTCTCTCCCTCTGTGCACTGTCCCTGCTAACCCTGACCCTTCACTGGAGACTTACCCTGTTTCCTTTTGCCTGGAAGGCCCTGCCCAAGCCTTCCCGTGGCTGCTTCTCAGTTTCCCTTAGGTGCCACCCTTTAAGGAGGGCCCCTCCTAAAGCCATGGAAAGTGCTCTCCTTTCTCAGTCCCCACTTGCCATCACCCCAACCCTTTCAATCTATCCATCTTCCAGGAAGCCTCGTCTGACTTCCTGTCCTGGGTTAGATGTTTCTTCCTATGTGCAAAACTACTGCAGGGTTACACTCAATTTCTACTTCACTGCATGTATCTTTCTCTGAAAGTCATCTTGTTTTCCCATTGTTGCCTTGCCAGTTGCTTTTGCCCACCAGAGTGTAAGCTGTTGTCTACCTTCCTCACTTTTAAGTCCCATTGCCTAAAAGAATGTGCTCACTCAATAAATAATGCCAGAATGGATAAATACATGTCACCTCCTTGGGTTTCTTCTGACCCCCAATCTTAAAGCGACTTCCAAGTCTGACCCTCTCACAGCACACTGTTCTCTTGGGGTTTTTCATATAATTTGTCATGTTCTAGTTATGATTTATTTGTTCCTTGGGCTGTGAGTCCCCCACCAGGCATGCATTCTTGTCTGTTTTGTTTATCACTGGACCTCCAGCACCTAGAACTCTGCCTGGTACAAAACAGTCTTTTGGGGAAGAACAAATGGACAGAGGCCTTCCTTCCCCCAAGCACTGGGGGTGGGGGCTTGCTTACACATCTGTGACTCATGGGCAGGCACCTCCACCTGCAGGGCCAGTTGACACACAGCTGTGACCAAGACTTAGGGGGTGGGGGTTTGGGCCAGGAAGGAGTCACCATCCCCAAGAGAGGTGTGGAAACAAGAAGGGGCAGAATAACATGACCTCTTCCTTCCCCAAACTTCCATGAGAACTGAGTTTGCCAACCACCTGCATGAACAGGGTGAGGTGAGGCTTCCCTGCTTGGATGGCCTGGGAGAGGTGGAATTAAAAATAAAGTGGGTGTACAGATGGGGAGATTTCAGTGAATACAGATACTGATTAAATGAAGTGGGGCAAACAATATGTACAATCAATGGGGCAGGGGCGGGGGGAGACCTCACAAATAAAACCAAACTGAAAAGCAGTCGATTTTGTACAACTGTATGATAATAGATGTAAAAGGCGAGATGCAATTAAAATTTTCTTAGAGCTTAGAAAGGACCAAACTGGTGCAAAAAGAAATGGCAAATCCGACTAGCCAATAACAAGAGAAGAAACAAAGAGTTAAGATCTAGCCTCCCAAAGGCTGATGCAGATCCAGGTGATTTTATGAGCAAGATCAGCCAGAGCATTGGGAACAAATGTTTGCCAGTCTGTAGGAACTGTTGCAGATCCTAACCAGAGCTGGGAAGCTCGGTGACAGTCCTGTGTGGAGAGGTTCTGGGCAGGGCACGTTCTCTGAGGCCCTGCAGACCGACAAGCCCACTGCTTGGGAGTGCTTTGGAGGAGGGCTGTGATGGTCCAGCCACTGAAACCTCGACTCCCTCTAGGAGAGCCGCATAGCCACATTAGCGGACCCAGCCAAGGGTGGCAGAGGAAGGACAACTCCAGGCCAATCTTGCTTATGGAGACAGATACCAAAGTCCTGAATCAAACAGTGGCAAATGGAATGGAGAGACTGAAGAGGCCCTGAGGCTGAAAGATGGTAGGATGGGGCAGAGAGGGGTGGAAAAGAGAAGACAAAGGACATTTCAAAAGGAGAAAACCCGCTTCTCAGTCTTGGGGTGGATTAGGATTCTGAAGTTCACCATCTACCCTCCATCCAGCCATCTCCTGGCGTGGGAAACTCTCTCGCTTGGCACTGGACAAGGGCAGAAAGGCCACACCTGAGGTTGCCCAGGAATTTGGCTTTGTCCCTGGAGTATGAAACTGGGAAACAGATTTGATGAGCTCAAGCTTGAAGAGGTGCACAATTAGTCACCCTCTATAGGCAGAACCTAGAGAAGGCTGGAGCTCCTGGGTCTATCGGTCTGGGTGGAACCCTGGGTCCTCCAAGGGGAGTGCGCCCTGTTGCCCTCATTAGAACAAAGCTTGACAACACGTGCAGATTCTCACCAAACCTGAGCACCCACACACATAGCGCTGCACCCCCACTGGCTCACACCCTGCATATTCCTTCCTGCCTGGCCTTCCCACCAGCAGTCCCACTCCACCCCCTCTCAGTCTCCCCTTGGCACCAAAACCCATATGTCTTTCACTGCTGCACCCAAGTGTACTCCCTACTGGCTCTCATTCTGTTGGCCTCTGCCTCTCTCTAAACTAGCTCCAGAAAGCTATGCTACCACAGACCTGCCAACCACCTCCTGTCCTTCCTCTGGTGCCCCTCTTTGTGTCCAAGGACAAACTCTCAGCTCTTTCCCTCTCCAAGCTGTGCCACTATGTCAACACCTGGGGCTTCAGGTTGGGACTTAGGAGGCCCCAGGGGGAGGTGGGCAGGAAGGATGAGCTCCTGGCCCCATCCCAGGTTCCGGCTGACAGTCTCCTGCTGCCCCAGGTCTTTGGCCCCTCCCTGTGGCTGCCTCAACCGGCTTTTCAGGAGACACTGCGTCCTGTCCCAGCTCTTGGCACTCAGCCCACTGCCCTTGCCCAAGGCCTGGGAGGCAGGAGGCTAGGGTTCTGGGATGAGAGTATGATCCTGGCTCCAAATTATCAACCCTCCCTAAGGGACCGAAGGCTGCTCTGGGGATGCAAGTACCCTTCCCTCCAGCGTCCTATGAGGTTGAGGCACAGGCCTGGCCTCTCTTCCCTTGGCTTCCCTTGCAAGCACAGTGTGTGTACTTACGTCACATACTTCTTGGGATTACTGCTTCCAGGCCATCCATTTGTTCAATCTATAAATATTTATTGAACCCCAGGCAATGTTTCAGAAGTTGGAGATGTAGCAGTGACCAACACAGAGAAAAGCCCTGTCCTCTAGAAGTTTACAGTCTAACAGGTGAGACAGACAATAAAAAGGATAATTTTGGATCATGTTAAGTACTTTAAAAACAAAAGGAGATATTACAGAGTACACCTAGGAGATGGCCAGGGAAGGTTATTTTGAGAAGGTGACGTTGGAGCGAAGAGCAGAATGAGGAGGAACCTGTCATGTGAAGACTGAGTTCTGCATTCCAGGCATCGAGAACAGCATGTGCAAAGGCCATGAGGCAGGAATGAATGTGGTATGGTTGAGGACCAGGGAGAAGGTCCATGTGGCCTGAGCATAGTAAGTGAGGGGGTGTCAACAACAACAGTGAGAATAAGATCTGATGACTCCCTCCCCTGACTGCACCTCCCACATTTCCAGACTCTCATTGCTGGGAAAATGGGATCCTTAGGTCCCCAGAGAGGAGTGAAGATGATGAGGAGCCAGGCTTGTGTCCCAGCAATGGGAGACAGATGATTGAAGGTGTGGTTGGGAAAAGGAGGCCTGGGTAGTGAAGAATGAAAATGAGGTGGTTGGAAGGGCAGACATCTGGGCTCTGGGGTGGAGGGCATGGACTGGGTAAGAAGCAAAGATGCCATGTGAGTGTTCTCCATTCATGACTCACCTCTTCCTCCTCCCCTTCATTGCTCAACCCCAAATCTCCCTGGGAAATACCTCCCTGACCGGGGACTAAGTCAGTGCCTCACAGAGATCATTTGAGTCATGGGGGGTGGAGAAGAGGGAGGGAGGGAGGCAGAGGATAAATAGCAGCTTTGCTTCCCTGACTTTTCTCTGCAGCCTCCCCACCCTGCCAACAGTATGCACCTTGCCAGTTTTGTCAGCTCCTGCTCCCTCCTACTGCTACTGGGGGCACTGCCCGGATGGGCAGCCGACGATGACCCCATCGACAAGGTCATTGAAGGGCTCAACCGAGGGCTGAGCAATGCAGAGAGAGAGGTGGGCAAGGCCCTGGAAGGCATCAATAATGGAATCACTCAAGCTGGAAGGGAAGTGGAGAAAGTTTTTTATGGACTGAGCCACATGGGGAGCCAGGCTGGCAAGGAGCTGGACAGGGGCATCCAGGGGCTGAACAACGGCTTGGAAAAGGTAGCCCATGGGATCAACAATGGTGTCGGACAAGCAGGAAAAGAAGCAGAGAAGTTTGTCCATGGGGTCAACAATGCTGCTGGACAGGTTGGGAAGGAAGCAGACAAAGTGATTCAGGGAGTCCCTCATGGGGTCAACCAGGCGGGAAGTGAGGCAGGGAGGTCTGGCCAGGGGGTCCACTATGCTGCGGGGCAGGCTGGGAATGAGGTGGGGAGGTTTGGCCAGGGACTCAACCATGGGGTCAATGAGGCCTGGAAGGAGGCAGAGAAGTTTGGCCAGGGGGTCCACCATGCTGCTGAGCAGGCTGGGAAGGAGGTGGAGAAGTTTGGCCAGGGGGTCCACCATGCTGCTGAGCAGGCTGGGAAGGAGGCGGAGAAGTTTGGCCAGGGGGTCCACCATGGGGTCAATGAGGCCTGGAAGGAGGCAGAGAAGTTTGGCCAGGAGGTCCACCATGCTGCTGGGCAGGCTGGGAAGGAGGCGGAGAAGTTTGGCCAGGGGGTCCACCATGCTGCTGGGCAGGCTGGGAAGGAGGCGGAGAAGTTTGGCCAGGGGGTCCACCATGCTGCTGGGCAGGCTGGGAAGGAGGTGGAGAAGTTTGGCCAGGGGGTCCACCATGCTGTTGGGCAGGCTGGGAAGGAGGGAGACAAAATAGTCCAAGGGGTCCATCATGGAGTTAACCAGGCTGAGAAGGAGGTAGAGAAGTTTGGCCAGAATGTTCATTATGCTGCAGGGCAGGCTGAGAAAGAGGGAGCCAAAATAGTCCAAGGAGTCCATCCTGGGGTCAACCAGGCAGGGAAAGAGGTGGAGCAGTTTGGCCAGGGGTTCCACCATGCTGTTGAACAGGCTGGAAAGGATGCAGACAATGTGGTCCAAGATGTCCACAAAGGGATCAACCAGGCCGGGAAGGAGGCAGAAAAATTTGGCCAAGGGGTCAACCACGCTGCTGGCCAGGCTGGAAAGGAAGCGGAGAAACTTGGCCAAGGTGTCCACTATGCTGCTGGTCAGGCCGGGAAGGAGGTGGACATCTTGCAGCAGAATGTTCATAATGGGGTCAACCAAGCCGGCAAGGAGGCCAACCAGCCACTGAATGTAGGTGAACAGGGGTGGGGAAATGGGGAGAAGGGGCTGGGGGAGGGAGAGGTTAATCCTTGGAGGAAGTCCACATGGCCTTCACTTGGAAAGAAGCTTGGGAAGCTATATATAACCACGTCCTCCTCCCTTCTCTCCATCTCCCTTACAAAGGAGCTGGTGGTCAGCTGCTCAGATGGATCAAGCCATCTTACCTGCAAAGCCCTTTATCAGACAGTGTGAAAGCGATCCCGCCCTCCCTTTAGGAAGCTGCCTACCTAGTTAAGGGAGGAGCATGAAGCCTCTCCTGGGGAATAGGAAACAGTTACTGAGCCAAGTTCTATTACAGTGCAAACAGAGTGAGTGTTGAGAAAACCCAGAGCATCAGAATAAGCATGAGGAATAGCTCTTGGAGGTAAGACCTATTCTGTTTAATATTTGTAACAAGCCTCTGAGGTAGGGTGAAGATGCTGACTCCCTGATTCTCAGATAAGAAAACAGAAGCTCAGTGAGGTTTAAGGGGATTTGCCAAGGCCATGTGGCTAGCACACAGCTTGGTGAACTGCAGGTCAGGGTTCTTTCTCATCCTGCACACTGCGCCATCAGAGGGAGTCTCGCCAAGGATTTCTGATCTGTATTTATGTAGCAGGAACAGACACTGGAGGCCTGGAGAGGCCAGGACTGCCCTTTGCAGCAGAACAGGCGCCAAAGAGAGGGCTTGGGGAATGGGAGGCTGACTCCCGCTTGCCTCCGTTTCCCACTCCAATCTCCATGAGGAATCTTTGGGACCCCACCTTGAGGATTGGCCCAGACTTCAAAGCCCACAGCCACCTTGGCTACCAGGCAGGGAGTCAGGGATGGGTGCGGGAGGAGGAAGGGACTGTGTAGAAAGTGTGCAGAGTAGAGGGAAGAGCTCTGAGCCAGCAGCAGGATTCACCGGGAAGAGGCCAGGAGAGGGCCGTTTGTTACAGGATTCGGGGCTGGCAACAGCAGCCGGGGAGGCACTGCCGAGTATCTGGGGACAGGATTAAGGACAGGGATCTACCTGAGGTAGGGATCAGGTTAGAGTATGTGTAGAAGGGGTAGATTTGAGGTCAGGGCTGAGCCTAACAGTGATTCTGGTATTTGCGTGGATCCCTCGGGTTCCCTTTCTAGCCCTTCTCAGTGACTGAGAGCATTTCTTTCACTGAAGTAAAAAGGAATTGGGGATGACTAATCAGTAGGGGCAGACATTCTTCCCATCTCACACAGAATTCCCTCAGCAACACAGGCTTTGGGTTTTCTTTCTGGACAGTGAGGGAGCATGGGGTTATCGTAAGCCTCCCACCCAAGCCCCAGGGACCCAAGAGGGCAGCAGGTCACCAGGGAAAAGAACTTGGGAGACCCTCCAGGGCTGAGGGCTTGTAATGACGGTCTGGGCTTCACCCGCAGGGCAGTCATCACGGCGTATCCAGCGGTCAGCATGGAGTGGGCACAACCACGTTGACATCTGGAGTAAGTCCCCTGACATGGCATGGCTCTGGGGTCGGGGCAGTGGAGCCCCCCTAGACAAGTGGGGGAACAGGCTGGTGACTGACCCTCTTGTCCTTGGATTCCAGGCCTCAGTCAACAGACCCTTCATCAACTTTCCATCTCTGTGGAGGGTGAGTGCCCACGTGTTTCTGCTTTCTGCTCTCATCTGGGGAGATAATTCTTACACCGTCTTCCCACTGCCTCTTAGGGACAGCTTCACTGTGGACAGACTCTCAGCTTTTGCAGAGACCATGCAACCTGTTTCCCAGCTCGGGTCTTCCCTTTCTTCCCCTGCTCTTTGCCCTTCACATGTTGCTCCCATCTTTTGGGTGCTTCCCATTCCAAACACAGCTGTCAGAAGAGACCTCCAGGGGCCTTTGTGCATCTGGGAGCCAGGGAGGGGGTGCTGCTGAAACCATCCCTTCCGTGCGCCTGCCATCTCTCCTGGGATTCCCTCCCTACCTCAGCCCCCGGGACTAGCTCTGCAGCCTGGACCCTGCTGCCTGGCAGCAATATGCTGGGTGGTGGGAACCTGTGGGCCTGGTCTGTCCCTGGGTGATGCTCCCACTCCCAGTATAAAGGCTTCCATGGGATCCTGGTCCTCAGTCTGGGCTAAAAGTAAAGTCCTAGCTCTTCTCTTTGCAGTTGGTACATCAGCTGCCTGAGACTAGGGTGAAAGGGTGAAGGTATGACAGGACTGCATCTGGAAACGAAGGCCCACCCTTGGTTATTCCTGGGCTATGTTTATTCCTCTGTGAGGCAAAACAGACAAGGCTTCTCGGTTCCTTCCGAGGCTGCTGGCACCTCTGCCTAGGAGGCCCGGATCCCTGTTCTTCCTGAATCTAGGAATATATTCCCCAGAGCATGAGCAATGCCTAGGCCAGAGTAGCCAGTCTCCCACTCATTTCTTTAAGAGGCATGAGGGCAGAGATGCTGGTCCCTTCAGGACTGTGTCCTCTGCATTCACTCCCTCTTTCCTTCTCTCTTCCAGAGTGTAGCCAACATCGTTCCTTGAACTGAAGCACTGGCCTTATGGAGCAGACTGACATTCCTATTGGCAAAGTAGTTGGAATGACCTGGAGGAGCTGGGGTGGGGGGATAGATTTCCAGAGTCCCGTCAGGCGGCTGTCCTGAGATTTGTGAATAAACATGTGCCACGCTGTACTCTCATGGTCCACTGTGCTCCTGGAGGAGGGGTTGGTGGGCCAGACTTGTCTTTTCTCCTGCTGCTTTCCTGAAGGAGCTGGGGGTCTGCACGGGATGCACAGGATGAGTTGAACTGGAAATTTCAGGCTGATCATATCTAAGAAGGCAGGTACAGGGACAAGTCATGCTTCACTAGTGTGCAAAGTGCATGCTTGGCACTAGGAGGACCAGCCATGTAAGGAAGGCCACTTCAGGTCAACAGGGCTGGCAGAAGCACCAGCGGGAAGAATGCAGCGAACCTAGGTGGAGCCAGGTTGGCAAGCATCCTCCTCCAGGGGCTGTGGCACCCGAGTAACAGTGGTAACTTGTATTTACTGTGCAAAGTCAGGCTGCCTGCTGGCTACTTTATATGCATGATATCACTGAATCCTCCCAACCATCCAGTTAGGTAAGAGGTCCTATGTTGCTCCGTTTTATAGAGAAACAAATGGAGGCTTATACAAGTTAAGAAACATGACCAAGATCACATAGTAAGTGGAGGAAGAAAAGCCTATGAGCTACAAGAGATACTCTGAAAATAGAGTCTTCTTGTTTGGTGTCAGTAGGGAATGGAATCAGTTAACAGAGAGAGAGGGAAGAGACACCTATGGGGATCCTCCCACAGGGAGGAGGACAAAGGCTCAGAGGGAGGGCACACTGATGACAGGAGGGAGGGGCTCTGTAGAACAGGAATGGTGACATGCAAGGCCCAGTTTTCAGATGTGTGGATGACTCAAATTCCAGAGGAGTAATGATAGTAACTACCGGAGGTCAAGCACTTACAGGCTCCTGGTAAGGTGTGAAGACCTGTTCACACTCTCTAACCATTTAAGCCTCCCACAACACAAAGATGGACGTCCTCTTATGATCCCCATTACATGGCTGAGGAAACTGAGGCTCACAGGAGCCAGGGCACTTGCCAGGGTAAGCAGCAGGCAGGCCTGTTTCCTGAACCAGTCCTTTAACAGCTTATCGTGTCTCACTTGCCAAGCCTTGGCCCAGGAGCTGGCAGACCTTTGCTCCAATCAGGGCCAGGGGCCCGAGGCAGCTTACTTCCCCTCCAGGGGCACAATTTCTTCCTATATAACATGGGTTGGGGTGTCTGCAGGGGAGGACTACAAACATGGCTCCCAGCTTCAAAATTCATCAATCATGGGACCAAAATTTTCCCTTGGGGAATTTACAGGCTTCCGGGGCGACAAGGCATATAAATGAATATGTAAAGATATAAATAAGCAAAGAATATGAAAACTACAAAGCAGTACATTAATAAGAACTAAATGACACACCAGGGAGGGAAGGGGCGGGGCCCATATGTGCACAATAAAGGTGATGTTCCTGACACTTATGGTCACTATTTTTCCTTATTTGTAGAATATCATCATTTTTATCACCTATTTCTTCCCTTCCCAGCAATATTTTAATATGAAAATATTTCAAACATACCATAAAAATGAAAGAATTTTACAGTGAATGCCTGCATACCCACCACTTAGAGTCTACTGTTAACATTTAACGATGCTTGTTTATCACACATCTGTCCATTACACATCTATCCAACTAACCACACATGTCAATACATTTTTTGATGCATTGCAAAGAAAATTGCAGACATCTGTTTCCTGCATTTTGATAAATAGAAGCATTCATTCATGTCACACATTTATTGAGGGTCTATTCTGTGCTGGACATATTCATATGGACCAGAGGAGGGAATATTCCCGGAAATATTTTTTCATCAAGTAAAAGCTTTCATTGCTTTTGTCTGTATGCACATTTTCTTGCTGGGTTTGCTTGGATGGGGTTCCTGAAAGTGCTGAAGAGATAGGGGATAACCGTGTTGGGGGTCAACCCTGGGAGGCTTCTGGGAAAGAAGAGTTTAGCTGGTTTTGACAGGTGAACGAAGTAGGGCCCACCCTTGCCTGGAGGCCTGGTGTGAACTCCTTCTGCATGAATATTCCCCACGGCCTGCTTGTTCCCCATGTCAGCTCTTCACTTTCAGGTCAGCCCCCCTGACCACCCAGTGTAAGTCAAGGGCCACCTTCGTTGTTCTCTCTTATGCACACTGAGCTTTTTCTTTATAGTGCTTATGACAGTAATGATATATTCACTTGCTTCATATCCATTTCATATCCCCCTAGACTAAGAGGTTCAAGAGGAGAGGTTGAGGCCAGCTTGGTGGCCAGTGGAGGGAGCACTGGCTTGAGCAGATTTGGGAAAGGCTGATTAGTAAGTGTGAGCAGGAGCTAGGCGCCTGGGACAGACAGGTGGGGCGTCTAGGGAGGGAGGACCAGCTTCTCCAGATGCGGAAGAGCAGGGAGGAGTTTGGGTGGCGAGGGTCCCAGCCATCTTTTATTGGGTGTTGACTACATCTGTGCTGGGCACTGACGGGTGTGATTCATTCCCTCTGCACAACCCGATGGCAGGTGCCATCACCCCCCAGGCTGAGGCTCGGAGGAGGGGGTGAGTTGCCTGCGGCCCCTCAGCTAGTAAGTGGTGATGGCTGGGCTCCTGGCCAAGAGGGGGAAGCGGTGATTCAAAGTACGTCCTTTTAAGAATTAAGTTTTTCCTTCTGGTTTTTGCCCATATCCCTAAAAAACTTTAAAAACATACCTAACCTTATACCTAGCCACTTTACTCTTCAGACTTCATTTGCTTTAATTAAAGTGCAAAGATGTATTTATAAGCATGCCCATTATGTTCCTAGAGTAACAAAAACTAATATTCAAATAAAATTTTTAAAATTGGTGCTATATTAAAATTATGCTAACTTCAAGGATATAATAAATATGATAAAGAGAATTATCATTAGTTAAGGACAATAGAACCATTAGTTGAAATCAGTTAAAGATAAGATCTTATATAGAAACATTTATGATATTTTTATGTAAAAATAAAGAGATTATTTATTCTACCCACCACCTCTGAAGACAGAGATTCTCACTTTTGTCAATGTGTTCTTATTTATAAGCAAAAAAGTAAAGATTAAAATGAAGACTATATCATGACTTTGTTGGTACTGAGGCATTACTTCCCTTGTGGGCTTCTTTCTTCCAAAAAACATTAAAACTTATATTTTATCAATTATGTTGGCAAAAGAGAAATATATTAAATTTTATATATGAAAACATCAAAAAAATGAAGTTTCTCCTTCTGAAAGGAGGTGTGTAGGTGTTCGTATGTGACTCAAAACTTAAATATTGTCAAGAACTATTCCAACAACATCAACATATAACAAGAACATATACTGATACTCCTGTGTGCCAGTCACTGTTGGCATATATTACCACCTTAACCTGCATGTTTGCCCTCTTACAGACAAGGAAACTGTTGCACAGATAGGGCAAGCTCGCAGCTGCTAAGAGGTGAAGCTAGGACTTGAACCCAGGCTTCAGGATAGGGACTATGGACAAGATGAGCCAGTAGATGCGTTTGAGGCCAATACTCATAAAAGGGAACAGAGACACCACCCAGACCTAAGGCCTCATCTCCCCTCTATATTTAAATCCAGCCTCTATCCTTGCCTTCCTGGTCTCTGTACTCCCCACCCACCATCTGTTCCCCAGAGGAACCCTGTTAACCCCTGAATCAGATCACAGTCTTCCTCAGCTCAAAGCATTCACAGCTGGTTCTACCTCATTCAAAGTCCCCATAATGGTCCCCGAGGCCATGCCACATGGCCCACTTACTTCTTTGACATCAGCTCCTCCTGTTTCTCCCCTGCTCCAGCCATAGTGGTCCTCAAATAGAGCAAGTAGACTCCTGCCTCAGGGCCTTTGCTCTGCTGCTCCTTCTGCTTGGAATACTCTATCCCAGATATCCTCATGGCTTACTCTCTCAGGTCCTTTGGGTTTCAGTTCATAGGTCAAACATTTCAAAAAGCCTTTCCTGACCACCTCATTAATTAATTAATTAATTGAAGTATCATTGATGTACAATCGTATATTGGTTTTAAGTATACAACACAGTCGTTCAACAGTTACCCATATTATTAAGTCCTCACCTCAACTAGTGCAGTTACTGTCTGTCAACACAGGAAGATGTTACAGAATCATTGACTATATTCCCTATATTATACTACTATTCTTGTGGCCAACTTACATTATGATTGAGAATTTTTGTGCCCTTTTATCCTACTCAACTTCCCCAACCACACACCCCAACCCCTTCCCCATGGTAACCACCTGTCCCTTCTCAGTGTCTATGAGTCTACTGCTCTTTTGTTCATTTTGTTTTGTTTAGTTTTTAGATTCCACATATAAGTGAAATCACATGATCTTTGTCCTTCTCTGCCTGGCTTATTTCACTTAGCATAATACATTCTAGCTCCATCCATGTTGTTGCAAATGGCAGGGTTTTTTCTTTAAGGCTGAATAATATACCATTGTGTATATGTGCAACATCTTCTTTATCCATTCATCTATTGATGGACACTTAGGTTGCTTCCATAACTTGGCTATTGTAAATAGTGCAGCGATAAACATAGGGGTGCATATCTCTTTTTGAATCAGGGATTTTGTTTTCTTCAGATAAATTCCTAGAAGTAAGGGCATAAAATATTTCTATTTTTGGTCGAGGCAACTCCATGCTGTTTCCCATATTCCCACCAACAGTGTATGAGGATTCCCATTCCTCCACATCCTCGCCAACTTGTTATTTCTTGTCTTTTGGATAGTGGCCATTCTGACTGGTGTGAGGTAATACCTCATTATGGTTTTGATTTGCATTTCTCTGATGATTAGCAATGTGGAGCATCTTTTCATGTGCCTGTTGGCTCTCTGTATCTCTTTTCCAGACCACCCCATTTAAAATACTCCCTCTGTCTTCTCTATTCTCCCACTCCACTGATTTTTCTTCATAGAGCTCATCACCACCTGATATGTTTACTGTCCAATTTCCCCTACAATGAATGTGAGCTCCCCAAAGAGAGCTTTTGATGATTTTGTTCTGTGCTGTTGACCTCCTGCTTAGAACAGGCATGACACATAGCCAGTAGTCAATACGTATTTGTTGAATGAATGTAGTAGTGAATTAGAGAAAAAAGCTGAAATCAGAGGGTCTTGGGCATGATGTGGCCATGTCAGATTTATGGATTCTATTGTGTACAAGAACTAAGGCATGGTGATGTAGGAGAAAAAGCTGTTTGGAGTCGGACACACCTGGGTCAATTTCTGACACTTCCCTTTGACCAAGATATTTTCAGATATGATCTTGCATATGTATCAAACAGCTCTAGGCCTGTTACCTGATCTGTAAAATGAGAATGTCTGTCTCTTGAGGTTACAGTGAGGATGAAATGAGGTCATGCCTGTGAAAGCACCTGGTCTCCCATTTGGTTCATGACAGCTACTTAATAACTAAACCCGAGGACTGATTGAGGTGACCTCTTAGGTCCAGAGATGTCTGAAGGGCATTTTTTCCCAGAAGATAGAACATGGGACTGTGGGTGGCATGTGAGAATTTATATGGTTCATGAACATGCCTTTGAATAAATCTCAGTCACATGATGAGAAATGCACTCTTGTCTCAATTTTCTTTGAAGCGTTCTGATTATATTAAACTCCATTTCTGTGCCCGTGTGCCTTGAACACCTCCATCGAACTTTCTATTTACAAGCAAGTGATCCTGGCTTTCTGTTTGGTAGTGATACAAAGTATTCTCTTAAAATATATTTAAGAAAGTAAACTGGCTTAAACAAAAATATTAGTAAATAGAGAAGGCCAGGGCAGACACACGCCCTTGTGATGGTGGCATCCTGTGAGGGAGGGGTGGGAAGGTGTTTTGAGTCAGCCAGCTCTTCACCTCCCGCCCTGAGGTCCTGCCCTGTGGAAATGGGAAGCAGCAGGCTCAGAAGCTGGGTGTCCGTCACCAGTCCTGCAGGCCTCAGATTTACCCCTGCTCCTTGGCCCCCATGGGGCCCCAGGACAAAACCAAAACCAGTCCTATCCAGAGAAGAAGGTGGGCTTGGCAAAGCAGAGGGAGGTCTGGTATGCTCAGACGACAGAAATGCTGTAGGCGGGGACTTAGGAATGAGGAGGGCCTGGGCTTGGCTTTGGTTCTGTCACGAACTCACCTCGTCCTCTCTGAGCCCCAAGGGATGGAGGGGAAATAATAAGACTGATCTCCCAGGGCTCTCTGATCCTTAAAGTGCTTGGTCCATTGCTGGGCACATAGGAAACTCGTGATAAACTGGAGCTGTGATGGTGACAATGATGATAATGGCCACCACCACCACCATTATTATCATCATTAAAGAGTCAGAGATGGAATAATAGGGAGACAGGAGCTGCCGAGGACAGACAGTGATTGTGTTACCGGTGAGAGGTGTTGGATGTTACAAGCTGGGGTGCGGGTGTCAGGGTGGAGAGGGAGACTGCCTGAGAGACATTGAGAAAGGCTGATGGAAACTGGCCCCTCCTAAGACGATGCACCCCAGTGATACAAACTGTGGCTGGGTGGTGATGGTGGTGGGGAGGCTGGGGCTCCTGGGAGTAGAGGCAGCGACACTTCCTAAGCAGGGAGGAGACCTGGGAAGGATTCTTAGCTGTCCTGAGCTGGGACCAGGAGAGGGCCAGCTGACCCAGGGCCCCGGCCCTGGAGCTGACCCCTCCTCCTTTGCCCCTGGGAGGCCAGGGGGTGGGTGGGGTGAGCTGCTGTTCTCACACGTGCACCCTCACCCAGGGCTGGGTAAACAGGATGGATGCCTGGGTCAGCCGCTGCCTCCTACTCATTCCCTGGAGGTGGCTGGCCCGCCCAGCTCCCCTACTCTGCACCCTACTTTCGCAGCCAAGAGCAGTCCGAATGCTGGGATGCCCTGCTGACCACTCTCAGAGTGGCTGCTTCCTTCTCTGATGCCCAGGGTCCCTTCTGACAGTGGACTCACAGCTGTCAGGCTCTCTGTGCTGGAAGGTGTGAAAGAGTGAGAAAGAGTGGTAGGGGAGAGAGATGGGGAAGACAGAGGCCACCTGAGAGGAAGGCCCAGAAAGGGCACCTGCCTCCCACTCTGCAGCCCCGATCCAGGTGGGCTTCCACCGAGGGTGAGTCCTGTTCCACCGGGTTCCTTACATTTGTCCCCGCTGGGGTCCCGTCTGTGATTCCTCTCTCCTATGTCCCCTCTACCCATTGCCTCTAGGAGACACTAACAGCCTATCTCTGCAGATGCCCCCAGCCCCACCCTGTGCCCCAAATTCCTGGGGTTGGGAAATCAGAACCCTCTGCACCCATGTCATCCCATTTCTCCCTCCCTCTCTGATGCATGGGCTCCCTCTCTGTTTCAACACAAACTCTCAGACTTACAATTACAGCTCATTACCCTATCGGTGGCTGGCCCTGAGTCACCGTGGGGAGGGACTCTGGGATGCCCAGCCCTGTCCCCTTCTTCCAGCTCCAGTATAAGGACTAGTGGCAGGGAGGAGAACTCTGGGAAGCCAGGGGAGTCTGGGAACGCAGAGAAAGGGCTGCAGACCTAGAGGGAAGGAGGACAAGACGCCAGAAGGAGGAGAGGGAAGGGGGCACACAGGCACAGAGGAAGAGAAAGGGAAGAAGAAGTTAACGGGTGGGAGGGAGAGACTCGGGAGAGAGAGAAGGAGCAAGGCAGAGATGAAGTTACAGGGCTGCCTGGCCTGCCTTTTGCTGGCCCTGTGCCTGAGCAGTGGAGAAGCTGTCCCACTGCTGAACAGAGAGGGGAATGCTGCAGCAAGTGCCGGGGAGGCCATTGGGCATGGGGTGGGGGAAGTCGTTGGAAAGGGGGTTAGGGATGTCATTAGTCAAGGAGCTGGAGAGTTAGCGGACCAAGGGGCTGAAGAGGCAGCCAGCTCTGGAATGAGGGAAGCCATGGGCACTCTCCTGGGGGAGGCTGCCCACCTTGGGGTTGAAGAGGCTTTCCACAAAGGGATGGAGGGAGCAGTCCATGCTCTTGGAAATGTTGGGGGTGAGGCTGGCAGAGAGGCTGAGAATCTCGTTCGACACGGAGCAGACGTTTCCCACGGCTCCTGGCAGGGGATGCTGGGTACCAACAGTGCTTGGGTGAGTGGCTGGGAGCCATGTGGAAATGGGGGGCTATGGGCAGCCGGGTTGAGAACCTTGGGAATCAGTTGAAATGATGAAAGGATGAATGGACCTCTTACTTGTGGCCCTCTGGGAAGTTTCCTGCCACGTCATGCGTCCTTCCTGCCTCTGGGGTCTCTCTCTGCCTGCTGCTCTCTACATCTTGCTCTGGCTCCCCTCTCCCTTAGTGGCTCTGCCCACCATTCCCCCAGCCCAGAGGGAGATGACCACATATGCTAAGTGCAGGCGTGTTGTTCTTGCAGGGAACCCATGACCAACCTCCATCTGGAGGCCCCCGAGGCTACAGCCAGGGCAATCCAGGAGGCCCAGGGACTCCCTTGGGCCCTGGACCCTCTGGAGGCTCGGACAGCAGATTTGGAACCCCCTCTCAGGGAAGCTCTGGGGGCCACAGAGGCAATGGAGGGCCAGCCAACTTGGGGACTGACGCTCAGGTAAAGTCACCATCCCACTGACGCTCACCACCTCTGCCCCTTCAAGCCCACACTCTCTGTGCCTCCCTGGCCTTCCAGATCCCACACTCCACCCTCCTTCCCGGCAGAAAGCTGTGGCCCGCCGCGGCCAAGGGTCAACAAGAAGCAGCAGCAGCCTGAACACGGAGGTAAGAGGAAGAGCCTGGTGAAGAAGAGGGTGTCTGGTGTGTGCGACAGAAAGTGGGGTCCAAAGAGGAGAGAAAAGTGGGGACAAGGGGCGGAGGTGCGAGGCAGGGATGGGGAAGGGGTGGGCGTGGGGGGAGGCTGGAAGGAGGGCGGAGAATGAGCCGGGCTGGGAGACAGACATACCAGCAAGCAGGAAAGCCTGGCCTGTGGAGGTGGTTTTGATTGAAGTCTTGAAAGTCACCTGTGTCCCTCCCTCTGCAGTGTATCAACTCCCCACCCGCTGGCTCAGATGGAAGTTCTGGCAGCTCTGGGGTAAGAAGACAGGCAACCTGAGGAATTTTGCACAGGGAGAAAAGAGAGAGACTCTGTTCCCTCAAGGAAGGAGAGGGTGGGAAGCCATCTTGGCATCTCCTCTTTAGTCCCTCTCTGGTCTGTTCCTGCCCCTCAGGAAAGCGGTGGCCAGTCTACTCCTGCCCCTCAGGAAAGTGGTGGCCGTGCTGGAAACAGTGGTAGCAGCTCTGAGCCCGGCTGGGTGAGTTGTGCACCTTTGTTGAAGATGGAGATGGGGCTAAGGCCCCAGGTGGTCCCTGGTGAGACGCACTCCAAGGTCTCCCGAAAGCTGCCAGCCCTGGGTGGGTGGTCTCACTGGCTGCTGACCTCCTGGGCCTCCTCAGCTTCTGTCCCCACCTTCCCAGCCCCCAGGCTGTGGCCCTTACACACACGGTCCAGGTTCCCCAGCAGAGGCACCCTGTCTACTTCTGCCCACGTCTCCCCTTCCTCCCACTCTGTGGTGGTGGGATGTCCTATTTCCCATCTGATCTATTCCTGCAGTCACGTCCACTTTGCAAACCTGACTCTAGACCCGGGGCAGGGACAGGATGGGTGGAAGAAGAGAGGTGGGCCAGGAAAACAGGACGCTTGTTTTGGAAGTCCCCGGGAGAATAGGGGCAGGACCATGCACGCGGAGATTTAAGCACAGAGTGGTAGTGTAGACTACACGAACCCAGCATGGGGGTGAGAGGATCTGGAGGGGACCACAGCTGGCAGCTGGACTTGGGGGAGCCCCTGTAGAGGGGCCTGCAGACAGGAGCACAGCTTCCCTGGGATTCTGGGGAAGGTCGCAGACAGAGGAGGGAAGGAACTAGAACAAGCCAGATAACACAGGCTGTTTTAATTCACTGCCCCTCATGTTAGCCCCCTCCCCTCCCCCATCTAGGACCAGCCCCAGAATTCTGGAAATTTTGATCAAAGCAGCTATGCAGAGCCCCAGGTAAGGACTCCAAGGGGCCTTTCCCCTTCCTAGGTTCCAGGAGAGGGTGAGGGGAGAGGAGAGGCAGGAAGAGGGTGGAACGAGCCTGGGGGTCCCAGGGTCTCAGTTCTGATGAAGTCAGGCTCCAGGGGTGCTTCCACCTCTGGCACATGGGGTGGTATGTGTGTGAGGCTGGGTGGATGAGAGACAGGCAACAGCAGCTCAGAATCCCCAGATTTTCAACATTTCTGAACACACTCAGTCACACTAACCTTCTCAGTGTCCCGAATAACTTCCCTCAGTGACAGACTCGCTAAGGATGGGAGGTATGGAGGGTGGGGACAGGGGCTTAAAAAATGCATAATACCCCTGAGGATTATTTGGTCCCTGCCAAGTCCTTTGAAGACTCCCATGGACTCTGCTTTGTCTTCAGGTATACAATTCCGGCTACTCCTCAGAAAGCAGCCGCAGCCGTGGGGGAAATAAACCTGGGGTGAGTGTCTGGTGAGGGCACCCTGCAGATCACCCTCAAATGGTGCAAAGGGAAGCAAGAGGCGATGAGGCCACTGGGATGATGGGAGAACCGCGGGCTGAGCACAGGGTGGACGGTGGCCCAAGTGGGGCGTTTGCTGGCCTGGCGCTTAAGTGCTGTGATGCAGTGCTGGGACTGGTGTCTGCGTGGGACAGAGAGAAAGCCTTCTCTTTCTCTCCCAACAGTGTGACAACACAGGGAATGAAGTCCGCGTGTCTGGAGGATCTGGGGGTCAGGTGAGAGCCAGACTTGCAGTGTCTGCACTTCGTTCCTGCAGCTGGGCCCTCTCCCTGGATCTCACCCTGCTCGGCCCCACCCCCACACTAACCTCCATCCCAGGCTGGCTGTGGGGAAGTTACAATGCAGGGGGAGAAACCAGAACATACTCCTAAAGACACTAACCATCTTCCAAAGTGATAATTAATTGTGAATCCTGACATGATATACCTCACTTTATACCACAGATGGGACTGAACAATGGAAGAAACTAGTTCTTTTAGAAACATAATTGTTTCAGGTGACCTACACCTGCCCAGTGAACAGGATCTGGTGACCTTTTTGACAGAGTTTTGAAAGAGTGTTTTGACAGCAGACACTTCCCTCCTAGTGATTCTGGAGCGCTGGGCTTCCTGTCAGCACCTGCCGCACTGACAGAAGCAGGGTCATGCTAAGGTGCACGCGAACCACCCAGAGGTCTTGGGGAAATGCAGGTTGTGATTCAGCCGGTCTGGGGTGGGGCTGAGGTTCTGGTTTCTCCCAAGTTCATGGTGAGGCCGACGCTGCCGGCCTGTGCACTGGAGCGAGTGTGACCCCCAGGGCAAGGAGCAGGGCCTTGCGGAGAAGGTGGCCAGGGCGGTGGTGCTCTTGAAGAGCTCCTCATTTGTTAGGGCAGCTAACTTTTTCTGGGTAGATAGGTTTTAATAAAAGGTCTCCCAGTTTGTAACTCTAATTCTAGCTTTTTACATACCAAAGACTTAAATATGGAGTGAGGGGAAAAACAAACAAAAAACAACACAAGAATAGTTCAGTGAACTATTGGGTTTTTAAAAATACCATACTTAGGAAGGCAGTATTGACAGGCAGTGAACTTTGAGTTAGAAAATAGGGTCTCAACCATCAGCTGTGTCACCTGTGGTGACATCTGTGTGTCTTCAGGCAAGTCAGTTGCCCTCTCTGAGCCCCTTAGGTAAAACAGGGACAGTGAAGCCTAACTTGCTCACCCCTGTTAGTTACTACAGAGCTTTCTGTATCATAACCGGACCATGGTGGTTCAGGGGCCAGGCACTGGAGTCTAACATGGAGATGGATCCAGAGGAGAGCTTTTGGACAGTTCTGTTTCCATCTCCTCCCCTGTTAAATGGAGACATCTCCACACAGAGATGGGACAGGATACGGCATAGCACTTGGCACATAGTGGGACTACACATTAGGTTCTAGAGATGTTTGGGGGTGCAGGTTATGGGGGAGGAAAGAATATGAATATGATTCAGGACTGGGTAGGGTTACTCTAGGAAGCAAATAGCAAGTCATTCCAGGAAGGCTCTCTGGAGGTGGGGTTCTTAGGTACCTTGTGAAGAAGAGAAGGTGGCATTAGAGAGGGTACACAGAGCTTGAGCAAAGGTGGAGATGAGTGGGCCAGGGGCAGGTTGATGGGTGGCATGCGTGTCAGGAGGCATAAGCTCTGAACATCGGTCCCCCTTGTCCCCCTGTCGAGCAGCAGTGGTCCGTTGGAGGAGAGGAAGCTGTCCGTGGAATCACTACCGTGGTGAGTGGAGGCATCATCCCACAGGCTGGGACCATGGTGTCAGGCAAACCCTGCCTCCTCTCCCGACACACCCGTAGCTCCTGCCCCTGCCTGTTGCTCACAAAGCGGGTTCTTACTCTCATCCCATTTTGCACTGGTTCCTTAGAACACTCAGATGGCTCCTGGACTCTTCAACTTTGACAGTTTCTGGAAGGTGAGTTCTGCAAGACTGTTCTGCTCACTCTCTTTTGGAAAACTAAACCCCTGTCCCTTGGTGCCCAGGCAGAAGTCCTCTTTCTATAATGGCTGTCAGAGGTGGCCCTTAGCCTCTCTTGTCCAGAGGCCCTGAGGCAATTGTATTATGCCCCAATTTGGCCATTCATTTTTTCTCTCTCTGCAGAATTTTAAATCCAAGCTGAGTTTCATTAACTGGGAGGCCATAAACAAGGTAAGGGCTGGAAGGCCATGCCATTCCCATCTTTGCAGGAAAGGAATATAGAGAAGAAAGCTGAACCTCTGCTTGGTGAGCTGGGGGAACGACAATGATGTCTACTGAGACGCCATTTAGGCCAGTGTCCCCCACCCCTAAAAAAAAGGGTATAAACAAGGAGGAAGGACAGCAGAATCCCGAAAAGAGAGAGATAATTTGGAAAGAGTTGGGAGTTGGGGTGAGAGGAAGAATAGGCTTCTTTTCATGACTCAACACGCAGACCTGAGCAGGTCTGAATCTCAGTTCCCTCTTCAAGACCTGGAAGGTTAAGGGGACAGTAAGTAGGCAACCAGAGAAACCAGAGAGGAGACTGGGGAGACCGGCAGAGGCAGGGGCAGGAGGTGGATGGAGCCGTCAGGAGACGCTGCAGGGCCGCGTGAGGACTGACACCCAGAGAGGAGGGAGAAGGAAGCCAGTGTGCTGAGTGCCCGCCGGGCGCCGGGCATTAGTCTGCCCTGCACATACGGAACCTTAGGTGACACTTGGGGACCAGAACCTCTTTCTCCTTCCTCCTGCCCACCCCTTCCTCTTGCAGGGGTCCCCTGGTCAGGCTGACTTGACCCCAGAATAGCAGAGGTACCTCCAGAGTAAGGGGGGGGACTGAAAGGAGGGGAGGAAGGGCAGAAATACAACCCAAACAGAGAGCAACAGAAGCTGCTGCTGGCCCACTGATCTGCTTGTTTGATCTATTTTTTTAAAAACAATATGAATTAGTTGCCAAGGCTTAATAATGGAGAGACTTCACAAAATGACTTGGATTTTTTTACTTCTTTCAAAAAAATTGGCAACCTCGGGCCCGTGTTTCTGGGCTGAGCAGAGAAGAGCCAAGAGGCAGCTGCCTCCTGCCGCGGGGCCGCCCCCGCCCCCGGCCGCCACCGCCCCCCCCCTCCACAGAGCACACATGCCCCGCCCCGCAACACCGTGGCCATTCAGCTGCTCGGCGGGCCCCTGTGAGCAGCTCAGTTTCTGACCCTCACCTTAAAGAGTGAAGACGAGGATCTCTGCCCTCCAAAACTTGTGGGGGAAAGGGGGTGGTGGCAGGCGGGAGGCAAAGAGACAGATTAAACCTCAGCAAAGTCAAAGTCTGCCCTGTGGGAATAAGGTGGGGGTGAGAGCCGGGGCCGCGGAAGTTCCCAGCTGCAGTGGAGTTCTGGTTTGTATGAACTAAAAGAGCAAAATAGGCTCTGTTTTATAGAGAACTGTGTCTGGTAGTGAGACTGTGGACTATGGGGAGACCAGGTCCCCGGGCATGGGGAACTTAGGGTCAGACGGGAGACCCAGGGCACTTTCCAGAGGGCCAGGCAGGCAGCCAAACGTGTCTGCACATCTAGGGGGGCAGTACAGAGTGTGCTCACAGTGAGGCAGGATTCACTGGGGGTGGCTCCTGAGGAGCAGTTCTGAGAAGAGGGGCAGGACAGAGATGGGCAGAGAGGAGAGGGGAGAGCCCTATTTCCTGCACAGCTGGGGTGAGCGGCTGGGGTGAGGGGTGAGGGCAGGGGGCATGTACTGGCCGTTCATGGCAATGTTTTCAAGCCCATACCGGAAAGTCTGGCATTGACTGGATGACAGCCACGGACACAAAGGTCCCTGCAGGTTTCTGGAGCAGGGCCCCAATCTACCCTTGTTTTGGTCTGCCAGTCCCTGAACCCCTGTTCCTTGGGCTCCCTCTTAGAATTTATTTCTTTGCTCAGGACCAGAAGAGCTTTCGCAGCCCATGACCTCCAGATAAGGAGCTACCAGATGGATGGGAGAGCCCCCCCAACTCCCTTCTTAAAATGCCATTATTTCATCACTAATCTCAACCCTTACCCTTGAAACAAACCTTCACTGCTCCATGCTCCTGGTCTCTGCTCCTCACTTATGTCTCCATTGTTGTTCCAGAGTTGTTGGGAAGGGGTGACTTCAGCCCCATGTGGCCTGTGAAAAGGACAGAGGCTCTGAGGGCAGGTCCTGCTTCTGAGGTTTTGCTTCAATTATGTCCTGCCAGGGGCTGGGGAGATGGATAGAGAAACACACTTCATGTGTGCCAGGGGAGGGAAGGTTGGTTAATGGCCCCAGAGATCTAGTTTGTCTCTCCCTCTGTTTCCAAAGACAGTTTTCTGCTGTCCCTAAAGATAGCCAGCTTCCCCCCAGACCTTAGTCACAATGAAATTCTGTGACTGAGAAACGGTGGTGCTGGGGGGGTGGGGGGGAGTTGGGGCAATAGACTATTCTGGCTCCCTGCTTACCTGCTCCCTGCCTTTCCTCCACAGGGCCAAGTCTCACCCCCCAGCACTCGAGCCCTCCTCTACTTCAGCCGACTCTGGGAGGTAGGAGACCCTCACTTTTGAAGAACGGGGGGTCTTGGTCATCCTGTCCCTCTCCCTCAAGGCATCCACCCTCAGCTCTAGCCTACCTGTCACAAAACTCCCCCTCTGCTCATTGGTAAGGTGGGCAGTGTCAACCCAATGCCACTGGAGATCTGAGCGCACTTGACCTCATGTACATGTACCTTCATCTAACCCCAAACCACGCCCAGGTTCCAAAACCCATTCTTGTACATGATCTTGCAATTTTCCCAACAAGCTGCCACCCTCCATCCTCTTAATTCTGTCTCCTTGTGGCCCACTTGTCTCTCCTTTCCCTCCAGGATTTCAAACACAACACTCCCTTCTTTAACTGGAAAGTAATTACTGAGGTAAGGATTGCAGAAGCTCTCATTTTGGGGTCAGGAAGCTCAGCTTTGGGGACGTGGGATTCCCCGGCCCCTGGCAATGGCTCGCAGACTGTGGCCCAGTGCCTTACCCTCCCTGCTGAGGGAGGGTGTCTCCCACCCCGCTCTCCTCCCTCCCTGCCACCCTGACAGCAGGGTGGGAGAGGGAAGCTGTGCGTCACTGAGTGAGGAGCAGAGCGGGAGGTTCTCCCTGGGATAAAAGCCCAGGCTGAGGGGTGGGGCCTTTACAGGCATGGGAACATGGAGCAGGCCACTGCCTGCGCTGCTGCTCTTCCTGCTGGGGGTGGCCTGGCTCTGGGGGGGCCACGGCAGGGTGGGTGTGGCAGAGTGAGCAGGTGGAGGGCAAGAGAGAAGGGCCTGAAGCTGGGGTCGGCTCTCAGGCCTGGAGAGGGAGCACTAGGGAGGGAAGCTGATGGAAGCAGGAGGCTTGACGGGGAGGGCTCAGGATACCTGTCACGTGCGGCCAGGTGCAGAGGGTCTGGGTATCTGGGTTCCGGCAAGGATGGGCAGGACCTCTGGGTCCTGCAGGCCATCTTGTTCTGCATGTCCAGTGGCTTTTGGGAAACAGGACCCCTGGGCACTGAGGCAAGGGTTGCCAACTCACACATCTGTGTGGGCCGGGCATGTGAGGCTGACAGGTGGGCCACATGAAGACAGGGGACAAGGCCCTCCAGCTGTGTGTTGTCATGCATTCATAGAGGACTAAGTGAGACCAAGTTGTCTGATCCTTCAAGAAAAGCTAGAAATCTGATTTTTAGTTATTGGCAACTCATTTAATTTAAAAATGCAGACCAAGCAAAACATGTCTGGAGGTCCTGTCTGTGGTCAACCCGTTTGTTGGGACCTCAGTGTTAGGGCCAACAGTGGGGTGAAAATTCACGGTCAGGGGTGGTTAAGGTAGGGAGTTAAGTCAGAATGAGGAAGAACACCCTACCCCTCGTGTGTGTGTGGCTTCCTAGCAGAGAAGTGATGGTTGCGGGAACTAAGCTGCTTCTCTTTCTGCTTGGAAGTCCCCCCTGGCCTCAGTGCGGAGCGGAGGCAGCAAGTGCATCTGCCAGGCGTCTTAAGTGGCTCCGTCAGCTTTCTTGTATTTCTCTGCTTTCGTTCTCTCTTTTGAGCCAGAACTAACCTAATACACCTGGCTTTGCCTCCAGGGCAACAGCCATCCTCCCAAGGACCCTGTAGAGAACAGCACTGGGGGCAGGGATCAAAGGGCTCATGAAGGGAGCAAGGTTCAGTGTCGGAGGAAGACGGGCTGGGGCTGAGGTGCCAGCTCTGCCCCGGGGAGCCTGTGTGGGCACCACTCGGTCATCCTCGCTCAGTCTCAGGCCCGCCTGCCTCAGGTGCACAGGTGCGGTGGGTTTGCCAAACCCGGGGCTCTACCTTGCTCTCCGACACTGAGTGAGGAAATCTGTCCTCTATCTATCCGGGCCATCAGTTTCCTCCAGGCTCGCTGCCTTCTCTGCCGGCAGCACTCACCATGGACCGTTGGGGGGGTGCAGTGGGGTGCGTGGGATGAAGGAGCAGAGGGCAGAGCCTAAGCAGCAGGACGCAGGAGCCCCGCAAGCCCAGCATGACCTGAGGGGCAGTGTGGCTTCCTCTTCCTTCCAGGGTGCCAATGTGCCACCACTCCAGAAGAGGGCAGGTGGCGCTGGTCAGGTGAGTCCCTCTGCCCTCAGCTGACCTTTGGAGGCCCCTGGTCCCTCTCAGCCTTGTTCTTGGGTCTGGCCAATCTGAGATTCTCTGTCAGTCCCTGCTTCTGTAGGTTTCTCAGCCTGGCACAGGCTGGCAAGAGGTTGGAGCCCTAACTTCTAGGGTAAGACACCTCCACTGACCACCTGATTTAGACCTCACTTCTTTCCTGGATCTCCTACCCTCACCTCCCAAGGAACATCTGAGGAGTTGGGAGAGGTCCCGAGGAGGGAAGAGACGGGACCTACGTGGGCTGGGACCGTGAGGGGAGGGGAGGGCGTGGGCTCTGGCTGGCAGCAGGAGAGTCTGTGAAAGAAAACCAGGACCCAAAGAGGGTAGAAGGCAGGGGTCTGGGAAAGGCCCCACCAGGGCAGGGCGGTAAGGTGTTTATTCCAAAGCACAAGGCCTTCACCCCTTCTCTCCTGCCTCCCTCACCATCCCTGTGTGCAGGACTCCAGCTCCAGCCAGCAGGCATACCCTACACCCACAGCTGCGAGCCCCCCGAGGGACCTGCCCTGAATCCCCACTGGGGTGTCTGCGTGGGCACAGGGGAGGCTTAGCTAAGGGTGAACCCTTTTCATTTTGACAGTCATGTCTCTCCACCCCTTTGTAGGGAGTCTCAGGCTTCCCGAGAACAGTTTGGGAGCAGAGGGTAGAAGGTTCAATGCACAGAAAAGGTTACAAGGGAGCAGTGGCTGCGCTACAACCCAGGGACGAAACTAGGAACCAATATGCTCTCCAAGGGGAATATAAAAAAATCACATGACATAGAGCAAAGCCAGCAGTCTTCCTGTGTGGTGCCCCGCTCTGCACCTCTTTAACTGCTGACTTTCTTCAGGGGCTGGGGGAGGGCACACTAGCACTTCATGGAAGCAGGCCCAGGAACTCGGGTCTGGTGGGAAAATAAATGCTTTACGCCACAAAGGAAATGAAGAATTTTGTTTTGGTCAGTTGCAAAAAAAGCAATCTTATAAATGCAGTGAACGAATGTGCTAAGTGCCAGTTAGGTTGGTGAAGAAAAACCAGGTGGCACTGCCCTTCATTCCTCAGAACCAAGAAGCTGCTCCCTTGGGGACAGGACTTCTGAGAGATCAGAAATGATCTGTTGACTGAAAGAGATGAAGAGGCAGTTAATTCTAGCCTAACTGCATCCTCTGAATCCGCTCCCCAGTTCTCTGTGGCCAGTTTCTATCCACCCAGCGGGCAGAGGGAGACCCACCATCCCCTTGCCCTCCTGCTGGCCAGTGTGCGCTCAGGGACCACGTTCACTGTCATCTTGGGTAGAATGATTAATCTGCTGTGAGAAAATTGCACAGGCTGCATGTCTACAGTCAGACCAAGGGTCTTTGAAATAATCCTGGCCTGAGCCTGGCCCACCCTCTGGGCCCCTCCTGAACTCTGGGGACAGGGCAGAGCACAGTGAGGCCGCACAGCCCCCACACCACCTCCTCTTCTCTTCTCTTTACAGGGGGAAGCCACGGTTTCTTCCTAGGTAAGTACCGGAGCAGAGAAAATCTGGCTCCTGAGAGAAGGGGTCTGAGGTCAGAGGGTGTGCAGGGGACACTGTGATGTCCATTCAGACATTCTCCTTGTCCTACAGGCTTCTCAGGCCTGCTGCAGTGGGTGAAGTTTTGGTAGGTGAGTGTCAGTGAGCTGTGCAAGCCTGCAGCCAGGAGCTGAGGCACAGCCGGCCCTGGGGCAGGGCTGGGATGTTGGCATTTCCCTCACTCCGCTCTGGGTGGATGCTCTGAAGAACTAAGGGGGAGGGGCCCCTAGTGTGGGGTGTGGGCGAAGACTCATAAGAAAATGACCTAGGATGCTGGGAAAGTACCCTTCGAGTGTAGAATGAAGGTCTGACCGCCGTGGGACTGTGCAGGGACAGCTAGGAGAAGAATGGCACTCTAGGTTAGGGAGAGGGGAAGGGATAGGAATTGTATGGGAGCTGCAGAGGCCAGCTTTTCACGTGTACAGGTTCAGAGGCAGGAAGAAGTGAGTCATCAGTGTGGAAGAGGTGATAGATTAACTTGGGAGAACCACAGAATTTGTTTTCAGGAGGAGCAGACATGAGGGGAGCTGCAGGTGAAATAGGAGGACACCGTGGGAGCATGGCAGCTGGGTGGAAGGACGTCTCGTCTCAACAGATCTTGCTGAAGCCACGTTCTACCATTTTCTCTTATTTTCTTCTAGAAAATTACTTCTAATCATGACTTGAGGCCCTGAAAATGTCAGTCGTCAAGGGGCTGGGCTGCTCTCCTCGCCCAGCTCTCCCCCTGTGCCGGGCCTAGTGTGGGGACTAGTGCTTGCTTTTTCTAGGTTGGGGACCTGGGCTGTCTGTCCCTTGTTTCTTCCCACCCCACTGTGGTGTTTTCTTGACCATCAGCCTGACGGATAAACCAGCCAAGTTCTTCACCTAGACCATCTTGTCACCTGAAGTCACAGACAATTCTTCAGGAGGAATTACTACTCTGTGGAAATAAAACATGAATCTTGTTGCCCTAAGACTTACGCAAACTTTATTCTTTAATATTACACTGATGGCCTGGATCTGGGAGGATGGAAGAATGATTTAGGGGCAGATAACTTTGTCTTAACCTCCCAAGTCAGGTATACAAGATAGTGGACTGACAGAGATAAGACCTGGGAAAAAAGGAGCTAGCTGATCTTACTGTGCCTCAGTTTCTCCATCTGTAAAAAATACTCTTTGCCCCACCTACATCTGAATACCACGCTAACTGCACTTGAAGTGGCCACAGGTGTTTCGGTAGCCTGGACAGGCAGCAAGGGAACTATTCAGATCAGAGCCTGTGTAGGAGAGGAGATGTCCCAGAGGGCCAGGGAGAGCACAGGAACAGGAGCCAGGGGCCCTAGAAAGTAAGCCCGGGCCCGGTAAGTACACTGTGGTGGGATAAGGGCACGGCTGGGCTGATGTGTTCAGAAGTTGCCAGCAAGCAGCTCAGACCTGGTACCTTATCATATACGGTGGCAGTGTGTCTCCAGAGGGGGCAGTGGGGTACTTTACTCCATTGAATACTATGCTGTGTCACTTTTTGGTAATTCTTGAAATATTTCAAAGTTTTCTCTTTTATTATATTTGTTGTGATCACGATTATGTCTCACTGAAAACTCAAATGATGGTTAGCACTTTTTAGCAATAAAGTATTTTTTAACTAAGGTATGTACATTGTTTTTTAAAAAACAGTGCTATGGCATACTTAACAGACTACAGTGTAGCGTAAACACAACTGTTATACGCACTGGGAAACCAAAAAATCCATTTGACTTGTTTTATCGTGATATGTCACTTTACTGCGGTGGTCTGGAAGGAAACCCGCCATCTCTCTGAGGTCTGCTGCTTCATGTTAGGGTTCAGCTGTGTAGGCTAGGCCTTGCAATACGTCCCTGAAGCCACAGGGAGGAGCACATGGCTCTCCCAGAGCAGACGTCAACCTTTCCGCTGATGGACAGCTCACTTCCTGCAGTGCGGGTGAAGGATCGGAAACAGCAGGCACGCAGGTCACCTGGAGCCGGGACCTGAGGGATTGAGGGAGAGACTGGGGTGTCAACGTGGCTCTGGACTTTTGGGGCATTCCTGGTCCAAATGGCTGAAAGCAGCCCTTTAAAGTACTACCTGAAGCAGGCTCAGGCATAAAGGATTCTGATAAAGGGCTGGCCACCCCATTCTCCCTACTGGGCCTCTGAAGTATCTTCTTCACGTAGCCTCAAACTTTCATTTTTTTCACCTAAAATCTATTCTCCCATGGCAATCAGGAAGGTTGCCCTGCTCAGAATTCTCTACAAGCTTTTCATTAGTTCTAAGATAAAATGCCACCTCCTACCATGGCTCAGGGTGATGTGGCTCTGGCTTCCCTCTCCAGTGTGAACCTGGGGCTGCTGTCCCTGGAACCTGAGATCTTCACAAGGTTGGTGCTTTAACTGCTTTAGGTCTAAATTCAAACGTCCCCCACCCCAGGCCAGCTTAACCAAGGACACCTGCCCAATCACTATTACATCAACTTGTTTTGTTTTCTTGACAGACCTTGTTATTTTAAGAAATTATCTTGTTTCCTTTTGTTGTTGTTGTTGTTAGATTATGACCTGTCTCTTCCACTGGAATATAAACTCCAAAGGACTGGTACCTGATCCATCTTGAATGCCCGGCACCAGGAACCCAAGGAGCTATTCAATAAATGTCTGCGATTTAGGCAATGGAAGGAAGGATCAGAATTAAGTGGGATCAATCCAGGAAGTCCTGCTGGGAGAAGTTTAATAAGCAAAGGCTGCAGAGGGACAGAGGGTGGGTAGCAAAGGAAGAAACCAGACCTGCTGGGCAACCTGGCTACTTTGTTGGGTGTGATAGTAACACTGGCAGAGGGAATAACACTGGCAGAGGGTGCCTCGAGTTCTGCCTCCTGAAGGCGCACACCCCAGCCCCCTTTCTCTCCAAGGATTCTGGGCATTTCACCTAGGTGTTCACCAACCTAGGTGCATCCCTTCAAATCCCCCATTCCCTTCCTGAACCCGACCCGGAAGGCGGGCTCCCAGCCCCTAGGTGTGTCTGTAATGTGGCAATCAGGGCTGGGCCTCGCCTCTACCCACATTCAAGTTCTGGCAGATTTGGGGTGGGGTGGGGGCAGGCCTGTGGGAAAATAGGGGTATATTGGCATCCTCAGAGGGGACATCTACCTACTTGGAGATGGGCAGATGCAGAGCTGGACTCGTGGCTTGGCCTGACTCCCCTAATCCTATGGGATGCAGCTAAAGCAGAGATGAACCCTGGGTGATATTCTGGTGCCAGGAGAATCCCCCATCCCTCTCTCTCTCTAGCTGCCTAATCACTGGACACTGGGCACTCAGGAAACACAAACTCCCAGAGCAGTACAGACAGAGGAAGGGGAGGGAGCTTGGAGGGCCACAAGATTCTAAAGTTAGCTCCTAGAGCATAAATTGTGTAAAGCTGAAGTTACCCCTGAAAATCCATCAGGAAGGTATAGTGTGGAAGCAAATTCTAAGTCCAGCGCAGACAGTTTTCTGTCCAGCGTAAGAACAGACTTCTCTGGTTGTGCACACGAAGTTGTAGGCTTGTGTTTAGAGGCATTACATTGAAGTACCTACTTTAACCATTAGAAATTTAAATGCTAGAACTAGAACTAGAAGACAATGTTTGAATACACACCTGGTGTGGTGAGATGTGCATACGGAAAGAGGCATCTGGAATCTGAGGCAATTGTAGGCTCATTCTGGGGCATACTCTCATTGAGGGCCATTAATCCCCTTGCTTCTGTTTTCATTTTGCCAAGGGTGTACAGTTTAAATTATTGTGTGTGCAGGTTGTACACTGCAAAAGCACCTGGTCAAGGCTCTAGTGGGGACTAATGCAGCCTGCCCCTCGACTCTCCCTGTGTGTGCACTTTATACAGGGTGCTCTATGGGCAGGCCGAGGCCCTCTGTAGGATCTACTCTGCAGTGCGGCAAAGGCGTGATGCAGCTGCCGGCTCCGGAGTCTTGGAGCTCTAAGCCTGGCCTTGCTCTGTGATCCCAGGTAAGTTACTGAACCTCCGTATGCTGTGGTTCCTCTGCCTATAGAATTTGGATAATTATAGTACTTTCCCCACAGAATCCCTGTGATATTTCAATGACACCGTACATTTAGAACACTTAAGCACAAGGCCTGCCACACAAGAAGGCCTCAGTAAACAGGCTGACACTGTTATTAGTAGCATTAGCATTAGGAAGAAAGGAAATCATGGGAAGTCAATCTGTTGCAAAAGAACTCTGGGGTCAAATCAGTGACAGGGTTTCGATCGTCTGCTGCTTCAGATTACCCACACCAAAGTGTTCCTCCATTAACAGGCCCAACTGGCACTGATTATACAATATCAGTTCTCTCCCTTCCTTCTGCTCCTGGAGTTGACCCTATGCTGGCAGAATGGTGGTTAATGAGCGCCTTCAGTCACTGTTAATTACTCAGTAAGAATCCATTACACGTGAAAACTTGTGTCCTCCAGAAAACCTTTTGGGAGGTGCTCCACCCACCTCATTTCTCACTCATCCCCTCCAGTAGCACCAACTGCCTTACATCCATTGCCCCATGGTCAGCAGTGCGCAGTGAGTCCTCCTCAGGCCCCGTTTCCGTGGCAGCTCTGCAAAGGGGCAGGCAGATTAAAAAAACAGAGAGGGCTTCCTGAGGCTAAAGAGGGGTGGGACATCCAACTGGGGTGTGGGGGCAGCATGGGCATGGAAGTGAAATGCCCACTTCTGGGTGCCTCCAGGCCCACTATCTATGTGAATTGCATCAGGCTGGGTTGAAAAGGCCCAGCCTTTAGTAAGGCCTTGCTTTGTCTTGGCAGCACCTCCCTATTATACCAGGAACCAGCTGGGCCACCTGAACCTCACTGTGCAGAAGGTTACTTGATTAGGATGTTTATCACTTTGAGATGATCAATTCTCAAAGTAGGAGAATGGGGGGTAGAAGGTAAAAGAAATGGAGCAGGTGCTCAAAGTTCAGGACCTACTTGCATCTCCAACTGCTTATCTCTAAGACCTGCTCTGCTTTGTCCCCCCTCTATTCCTTGTCTTCTGAGCTCAAGACAATCATCTCTCTGAACACCCAAGAGTAAAAGATGAGCAGCTGGGATAATGGGACAGGTCCAGCCCCAAAGGAAGAACGTGTGTGGAAGCAACTTGGTGGAAGGATTCTTGAGTTCTAGCCTAGCCAACCTAACCGAGGTTGAATCTGCCGGTGCTCTTACCTGTATAAGGCATGGTGCTAGGGGGATATAAAGGTGGTTAACATATAGTTCCTGGCTTCAAGGAACTTAATATTCTGAGAGGGAAATAAGAGAAGAACATAAGTTACTCTAGGTACAATGCCAGAGAGATATGAGTGAATTGCTATAGCATTTCTGAGATGGGAGGGGTGTGTGTGCAGCAGGGGGATGATGGGAGAAATCAGGGAAGCTTCACCCAAGATAGATGTTGGGTTCTGAGAACCTGAGATGTGAGAAGAGCATTTTAGGAATAAGGAGTAGCACAGGCAGATGCTCAGAGGTGGGAAAAGAAGGGTATATTTGGCAAGGAGTCTAGTTTGGCCAGAATGCAAGTTGGTGCAAAGGGAAAAAGAGAAAAATAGCTAGAAAGGCAGCTTGAGGCCAGAGCATGGCAGGCTTTCAATGCCAGGCTGAGGAGGTTAGACAGAGTCAGGCAGGGTGAAAGCCTGAATTATAGAGAGGAATAAAGGATATAAGAAAAAGAGAGAAAGACAAAAGCGGAGGTTGCTTGGGTGCCACTGCCAATCCCTTGGAGGGACAGGTCCAACCTGTCTCCATCCCAGACCCATCTGCATGAGGAGCCCATTGCTGCCTCGCCTTCCCAGTGCCTGAGGCTGAATGTGAGTTGAGAAATCTAAGGTAAGTGGGGAGCAATCCACACCTCCCCCTCCCAGAGTCCTGGGGGTGGGTGACAGGAGCTGGCGGTGAGTCAGTGGGGTGGGGACCCCACTTCT